AATAAAAACATTTTCTCTTTGATAGGTAGCTCCAAAAACATTATACAAGTCCGGCGGTTCATGCGGCGTGTGCGGGGGGATGCTGGTGCAGTCTCGTACCAGCCCACGCAAACAGTCGCAGTAACGTTTGCCTCTACTCAGTTGCCAGAATACGTATATCTAGACCATTGGAGACACGAGGTCAGTCCATACGTTCCACCTGTTAAGCAGTGCCTACGTTGCATGCGTTTCGGTCACATTGCTAAGTTTTGTCGCAATAATGAAGTCTGTTCAATTTGTTCGACAAATCATAATTATAAATCTTGTACTGTTGATATAGAAAATGCAAAGTGCACTAACTGTGGAGGTAATCACGTAGCCATCTCATCCTCTTGTCCAATTAAAAAGCAACAGATCGAAGACAACAAAATTAAAAGTAGAGCTGTGCAGTATTCAGAACTGTTTAATGAAAAATCATTTCCCAAACTTGCCGAAAAATCGATAGAAACACATTTAAATAATTTATCAAAATCAGACTTATTTATGAATTTATTAGTAGAAACAATAATGAATATAGTATCTAATAAGAATGTACCTATAAATAGTAATACTATAAAAGAAAATTTACATAATACATTCAGAAAAATACCTTCCAAAAATAAAAATGGCTAACTTAAATATTGTACAATGGAATGCTCAGAGTTTAGTAAGCAGTAGGCTCATATTTACAAATTTTCTTTATGAACACAACATTCATTTAGCATTAATATCAGAAACTTGGCTAAGACCGAATCAACAATTCAAAATAAAAGGTTACAACATAGAAAGAAATGATTCTGATAATATACATAATGGAGTTGCAATATTAATTCGCAATAACATTGTTTATACTAAAATCAATACAAATTTTGATAATACTTTGCAAAATATTTGTATTCGTATTACAATAAGAAATAAAGATATATCAATTGTTAGCTTTTACAGTCCTCCAAATACTAATCCTGCCTTTAGTAAAAGCAAATTAGATTCTCTTATAAAATCTATCCCTGGTCCGATGATTTTTGCAGGTGATTTTAATGGTCATCACTCTTCTTGGGGCTGTAATTCCACAAATCCTCGTGGTCGAGATATTCTGGATATCATTGATGAAAATAACTTGATTCTTCTTAATGATGGGCAACCAACCACAGTTGGCTCTTTAACTTGGCGGCCCAATGCTCTAGATTTGACCATAGTTAGTCCTTCTTTGGCTTTATCTTGTGAATGGTCTGTTCATGATGATCCTCTCGGCAGTTATCATCTACCTGTAAAAACAAATATTAGTCTCAATGTCAACAACCAACAAGATTGTAATAACAATAATGTCATGGATGATAAGGTCACTTTTCCAATATTCAAAAATTTTAAACTGGTTGATTGGAAAATGTATCAATGTAAAGTTGAAAGTCTTTTATCTGAGTTTTGTGTTCAATCATACACCCCATTGGAGGCTTATACACTATTTTGTGAAATTCTTTATTCAGCCACAGAGTCTTTAACCCCTACCAAATTAAAATCCAACTCTACCAACAGAAAAACTGGCAAAAGACTCTCATTACCTTGGTGGAATAATAATTGTTCAGTTGCTGTGAGTAATTCTAAACAAGCATATATTACATTTAAAAATAATCCATCAGAAACAACCTATTTGGAATTTAAAAGGTTGCAAGCTTTAAAAAAACTCACCCTTAAAACTGAAAGATCAAAAAGCTGGGCTGATTTGTGTAGTTCATTCAATCGTTGTACCCCTCTTACTGTAATCTGGAAATATATGCGTAAATTCAATAAATCTTTTATTTTAAGTCATCCAGACTGTGACAGCTGGGTTTTACCTTTTCTTAAGAAATATACTCCTGATTATGTACCTACTCATCAGGACTGTTCCTACAATAGATCTCAATCAAATTCCACCAACCTCTTTTTAATAAAACCATTTACAATAACAGAATTGAAAAACGCAGTCTCCTCCAGAAGAGAAAGTGCATTTGGATTGGATGGTATCCCTTATAAAATGTTGAAAACTCTTAGTGATTCTAGTTTGCAGATATTTTTGAAGGTTTTAAATCATCTTTGGGAAAACAATGACATACCACCTTGTTGGAAAATAGATTGCTTGGTTCCTATTTTAAAGCCTAATAAGCCTAAATTGGATAAAGATTCTTATCGCCCTATTGCACTAACTTCATGTGTAGGAAAAATTTTTGAACAACTACTAAAGCAAAGATTGGAGTTCTATGTGGAAAAAAATGGCATTTTACCTTCGAATCAGTTTGGATTTAGAAGAGGTCGCTCATCTCGTGAAAGTATCTGCCAATTACAACTTGACATCCAAAATTGTCTAGTAAAAAATCAAACTATGGTGTCTGTATTCTTTGATGTTGCGGGAGCTTTTAACAGTGTCAATGTTGATGTGCTTTCTAATGAGTTAACTTCAGTGGGTATACCACCAAAACTTGTTCATTGGGTCCAAAAGTTCTTGTCTGAAAGAAAAGTTTTTGTTAAGAATAATGGTTACCTATATGGCCCACGGTTGGCTTCTGTTGGTGTCTGTCAGGGAGGAATTTTATCTCCTCTTGTTTTTATATTATATATCCGACGTCTCAACTTAATTCTGGGTGGACATGTCAAAAATTTACAGTTTGCTGATGACTTGGTAGTATATGCTTCCGATCATAAAATTACAAATTTAGTAAATAAAATTAATAGTGCCTTATTTAATCTTAATCAATATTTTACATACTTAAATCTTGATATTAACCCATTAAAATCAAAACTGCTTGTATTTGGGAAAAATAGATCTTTGATGCCTACTGTTTACTATAACAATGTTGCTATTCCAGTTTCATTAGACACAAAGTTTTTGGGTGTTTTAATAACTCACAACTTATCTTGGAAAAAATATATTGAACACATAACAACTAGGGCTAACAAAGCTTTAAACATATTAAAATCTTTAGTTTCTACATATTGGGGAGCTGATCCTAAGATCTTGTTGTTACTGTATAAGTCTTTGATTCGCAGCCATTTTGAGTATGCTTTTTTTTGTTTTGCTCATGACAACAAAATTGTAGATATCCTAGACAAAATTCAAAATAAAAGTATGCGTTTGATAACTGGTGCTTTCAAAAGCACTCCCATTAATGTTATGCAAATTGAGTGTAATCTTTCTCCCATTTCAATAAGATTTAGTTACTTAAAGGAAAGATTCCTTTTGAAGCTATTCTCAATAAACAATAATCAACTTTTAAAAAATATTTCATATTTATCACAATCACTGGCAGGTAGGCCTTTGTATATCATGCAAGGATTTCCTCAGTTCACTCAGTTTCTCGAAAATTCCAACATTTATAAGCCTTCAATCTTACCATGCTATGAAGGGCATTTTGAGAGCAAATTTCCATCAATTGACATAAATATCTACAAGGAGCTTTCTACTAAAGAGGAGGTGTTTGGTGAACTATCAAATTGGGTTGATCATAAACATATTTATACAGATGGCTCAAAAAATGATTCAAGTGCATCTTTTTCTTTTTACGCTAGCTCTATAAAATCTGGTTTAGGTTACAAGATAGACAAAAATTTCTCTGTATTCACTGCAGAAGCTCTAGCAATTTTGGCTGCTCTGAAACACATAAAACACCAAAATCAAGGACATAAAAAATGGCTAATACTTAGTGATAGCATGAGTGTGCTCAAAAACTTAGAAAACAATAAATTAAGTGCAAACACCAATTACATTATTCATGCTATTAAAGAAGTCTGGTATGATCTATACAATGTTGATAATATAATTGTAAGTTTCATGTGGGTTCCGTCTCACATTGGTGTAACAGGTAATGAAAATGCAGATTATCTAGCAAAATCTATCAATACTCTAGCTACTGAAACCAATACTCAGAAGATGTCTATACCTTATACAGATTTGATTGTTCTGCTAAAGGAAAGAATGCACCAAGAGTGGCGAGCCCATTGGAATTGTATAGTACAGGTTAAAGGTAAAGGTCTATGGTACACACCTCTTTATGTTGATGTAAACAAATTGCCATGGTTCTGCAAATCAAATAGCTTTTTGAATAGAAAATTCTATACGACGATTTTTCGCTTAAGGTTTGGTCATTGTCGGCTTAATTTCCATCTCTTTCGGTTGCAAATGGTGAATAATGCTCAATGTACTCATTGCAATTCCCAAGAAGAAACCCTAGCTCACATTTTCTTTGACTGCCCATCCTTCGGCATTCAGCGCCTTGTGTTGTTGGATGAGCTAATCCAAATTTATGGCAAACATGATTTGGTCCCGCGTTCCTTGACCGATCTTCTTGTAAATAATTGTACATACGTTCCTCTGTATAATTTCATTGCAAACACTGTTGAAGAAATATAAATATTCTGTAATATCGTTGTGTATTAGATTTTAAGGTTAAATGTTCTGCATACACAAAACGCTCAGTTAAGTTTAATAGGTACCGCATGTTCTCTTTCCTTTTATTTGTTTGAAAAAAATGTTTATTTTCGTAATTTTGCTTGTAGGTATTCTTTTTCGTTTAGGTCGTCGGTTTGAAACAAGTTTGAAACGTATCAAATGTCGTTGTTTTAAGTTTGTTTTTTCTTTTCTTAAGTTTTGTATTAGGATTAAGGTATTGCATGGTATTGGTCTATGATTTATTTTTTGTGTAAATGTGTACTATAAAAAAGATATTAAATAAATATGAAATTCATATAGGATGTAATTAATTCATGATTGGACTGTCTAGTAAGAGAAAAAATTAAATGTTTGGTGTTTAAGATGTTCAATGTGCTCGGAAAAAAGCACATAATAATAGAGTAAAACAAAAAACTAGAAAATATACCGGAAATTATCAAACTGAGGAAGTTATATTGAATTTTAATAATAAAAAGAAGAAAAATAACTAATGACGAGGCAGTATGGTCCCAGACCTTAGCCTGTCCGAAAGGACAAACGAAAAAAAAAAAAAAAAAATGTGGTTTTGTCTTTGCTTTGATTGAAAGAAAACAAAACAATAGGTTTCGAAATGGAAATAATTGCTAAAGAATTAGGTTTATGTTCTAAGAATATTTTCTTAACATCCTCGCCGAACCTCTGTGCTGTTGTTGTTCATACTACATGGTTGAAGAAGTGGTTGAAAAACGCGGAAGTCGACAATTCTGTTAACTTAATAGATTTTAATTTACAACCTGGTGAAAGTGTACCTTATCCATTTAAGAAAATATTCATTAGGGTTTGTATATGTATGTTATTAAACGTATAAAGTAAATATAAGAAAAAAGAAATTGATAATTTTTATTTGTTTTTTGTAGGTATTACACAAAAAGATCTCCAAAGTTTTACCTCTGCCAAGATATAAATTAAGCGAATGCCATACAGAACTACCACTAACATACTCACAACTTCTCCAATATGTGTCTCAAAACAACCAAAGAAACCTATGGAAAGAATCATACAAAAAATATTGTCAGAACCTTGAGTCTTCTCAAGGTAAAGGTAAAGAAAGTACCATAGTTAATTTACTAGAACATGACCAGTTGTTAACTGAAGTAATACTCAGAATATATGGCTGTAATATAGTTAGAATTAAGCATGATGTTTCCGGAAAGCTTCTAGAGTACAAAGAGATTATACCTAATAAATATGTATCTAAATTTTATGAGACTCATGTCAATTTACTGCCAGCATTGTTAGTTCTGGAGACTGACAATAACTATTTTATATTATATGGAGAGCACTGTGGAAATAGTCTACTAGAATGCCTTAACTTTAGTCCTCATTTAATAGATATGAATTATGGACATGGCCTTTTCATCATTTACCAATTATTACATGTATTCAAAGCTGTGAGTGAAAGAGGATTGAGTTTGGGCAAGTTGACATTACAAGATGTGTATTTGTCTGAGAATTTATGGGTTCAGGTTTTGCCTAACATTACAAACAATGTGCACTGCTTGGATGCCTCTTTGATACATGAGCGAAGCAAAAGTAAGCAGAGCACTCCAATAGCCAACTCAAGCAGTGAAGACCAATGTAAAAAAGAGGAATGGTGCTGGAGGAATGATGCTATTCAGTTGGAAAAGCTATGCATGTTGTGGGTGAGAGGTAGAATTTCAAATCTTGACTACTTATTACACCTCAACGCGCTGGCTGGGAGGAGTGCAACTGATTCACAAGCCCATTTCATGGTACCATGGGTCACAGACTTTGCTTCAAGATGTGGTAAGTACTAACTTAGTTTGTAGATAAAAGCATAAAATAAAATTCAATAATTAGAACAATGTTTTACTTATTATTTCTGTTTTGAAGGGCAGCTGTGTTTTTTCTAAGTAATGACTATTATCTTACAAAGTTATTAAGTATTAAGTAAGTAAAAAGCTATTAATGGACAACCCATATTCAGAAACATATAGATGATTGTTATTTAAGCTCAATGCCAAAGTTAGCATAGTTGAGGTGTGGTTATATGACTGTTTTTTATACACCCTTTTTTTCTCATTAGCTATGCTGGTTGGTTGGTTGATGACCTCTCTGGCCGAGTGGTATATAGGCCGGGTTTCTTGGCGTCCTACCCTACTGAGAGGGCCCTGGTTCGATACCTGGTGGGGGCAAATGTTAGTTTGATGAATACAAGCATTTGTACTTTAATCATGGATGTTTATTTTATATTTATAGATAAAGTATACTTTTATATATATCAGTATATGTATTCTATCCATTAGCATAGCATCCCATAACAAAAGCCTTACAGTGTCCTTGGGGCTAGGCTAATTGGTGTGAGTGTGGGAGATATTTATTATTATTATTTAGCTTATGAGAAAAAAAGGGTTAATGCTGAACCAACTCTGCAAGGGGAACATGATTTGATAGGCGGGGATCCGGTAACACTGAAAGTCCAGTCATAGCGGAATAAAAAAAATTATTAAATAAATAGAACAAAAGTAAAGGAATAAATTAAGCTCGGTATGCATGTATTTCTATTGCCGAAAAAATGTTAAAAAAAATATATTGGAAAAAATGTTTTACTATCATCCCAGATATTTTTTCATTTATTTGACAGTGAATTTTATTGGTTTTTAGAGAAAAATCACGCAAACCACTTTTTTTGCCGGAAGGGTCTAGCATACCTATTTCAAGTGTGTGATGAGGGCTAAAATATCTCCATCATGCCGGAAACCTTTTTTAAATTAATGATAATAGTGCAAGATATGAATTATTCTTGAAATTTTTTACCAAGCCAATTTGTATTTTATTTGAACCAACTGAATGTGGATTGCAACTGAATCAAGAAAATAAGTTAAAACCATTGTGGTATTAAGGCCCAGCAGCACCTTCAAAAGTTGAAGAAATTCTTAGTGGCCAATTAAATGAAGAAGAAAGTGAAGAATCAGAAAATGAAAACCGTTGTGATATAGATGAAATTGATTACGATGATTATCAATAAATATAAGTTTTAGAATAAACTCCTGTCAATTATTTCAATTATATTTTATTGTTTCAATTATCTAAAATAAAAATTCTCCTATTATTCCTAGAATCATATTAATCCTCATATTCTTTTAAATCTAAGCAGAGAAAAAGACATCTTATTCCACAAAAAGCATTTACTCCAAAATAAATTTTTTGAACATCATTATTATATTTGGAGTAGATGCTTATATAGTTTATGCACTTCAAGATGGTATGCGGGATTTATCCGGCAGTTTTTGAGCGCGCTTACCAAGATATTTTTAAAAATTACATATTAATAAATAAAATAAAAAGTTTCCAGCATGATGGAGAAATTTTAGCCCTCATCACACACTTCAAATAGGTATGCCAGACCCTTCCGGCAAAAAAAAAAGTGGTTTGCGTAATTTTTTTCTAAAAGCTAGTAAAATTTACTGACAAATAAATACATTAAAAAAACCGCGATGATGGTAAATATTTTTTTTTAACATTGTTTCGGCAATAGGAATCCACTCATACCGAGCTTAATTTATTCCTATACTTATGTTCTATTTATTTAAATATTTTCTTTGATTGCGCTATTGCGGGACTTTCAGTTTCACCGGCTCCGGACTAAGATGGTGTGTGAAATAAAGTATAGACAATCAGTTGGCTGTTTATTTTCAAAAAACATATATATTTTAGGTCAAAACTGGCGGGACTTGAGTAAATCTAAATATCGCTTAAACAAAGGAGATAGGCAGCTGGATATGACATATGATGTCAGCAGTCCTGAGCAAATTCCTCATCATATATCTGATGCACTGTCTGATATAACTTGCTATGTGTATTTAGCACGAAGGTTTGTTTATATAATAATCTTAGGCTATCATTTGATTGCATGTTTGGTGTACCAAATTATATTTATGTATTTTAAAGTAAAAATGTTAGTCTGCAAAAAATCCAGCTCTTCAACAAATATTTCTTTCTGCATAAATTATATTAGCTATTATTAGCCTATAAAGTATATTAGAAGCAACTACTATTTTTTGCCTTGCAATTTAACATACCATATTTTGAGAGAATCAGCACCCACAAACTCATCACATTCCAACAATAAATGAATATTATCATCTGTTTTCCCACATATTTCACAAAGTGGTGATGGTTTAATTCCCATCAGGTAGAAGTTCTTTTTGGGATATATCTGGAGTGCTGTATGAAATTTGAAAACATGTCTTGAGAGACAATCATATTCTAACCAGGGTATCTAATGTGGAAGTTTTCATAGCTTTGTACCATACTTTGGCTATAGTTTAAAAAGTAGGAAGTCAAGAAAGAGCATGCAATGTTTCCGTAACAAATTACTTTATTACCTTAGTTGTATAATTCTTAAAAATTTTACCTTTGTTTCTATTAAATAGACTCCACATTTGCCTTCTATATGCAGAGTTTAGTATTTGCGTATTAAATAAACTTGTTTGTATTTTAACAGGACACCAAAGGAGGTGTTGTGTAAGTATGTACGTAACAAATGGGTGCCAGCCGAGTATCCCGTCTCCATCCAGCGTATGCAAGAGTGGACTCCAGACGAGTGCATACCAGAGTTCTATACAGATCCAACAGTTTTCAAGAGCATACATGAGGACTTGCCGGTACGAACATACATTGTGTACTTAGTCTTAGAATAGTAATATGAAAAGGTGAATCTTTTCTAGCAGCCTCTATTCAGGATGATGATAAGTTTAAAATATTAATCTAGTAAGCTAAGTTTATTGATTGCTTTTTTAAAAGTACTATAAAGTTTACTATAAGCAAATCTCAAATTGTTACGCAGGACTTGGGTATTCCATCATGGGCGACTTGCGCGGAAGATTTCATAACTAAGCACAGGGAAGCGTTAGAAAGTACACACGTATCCGAAAACCTACACCACTGGATCGACATATCTTTCGGATATAAGCTTTCGGGGTCCGCGTCAGTAAAAGCTAAAAATGTATGCTTGTCCCTGGTTGATGGGCATACGGTTCCTCGTAGAGGGGCTACGGTGCAATTGCTCACGGCGCCTCATCCAGCAAAGATGTCACGACCTCCCCCGCCGCAACCCCCGAGACTCCATTGGACCGCACCCAGGGATTCCAGTGAGAAAAATTTACTTAAGTACTCATTTAAAACCTCGATTCGGATTTGGTTGAACATTACATTTTTCGGTATAACAAAGTTTTTAGCTCAACACATAATTATTAAAAGGTAGAGACTATTCATATGACTTACTTGGTTTTCAATATAAATTGTCAATACTTTATCTACAATTCGGCATTGTATCTCTTCTATTCAATTTGTTTTCTAATATGAGATTAATTTTTCAGAAAAATCGATGAAGGCAGACAGTTCTGATGACATGACTGATGAAGAAGAAGAATCTACCAGCCTTCCACAGCATATATCTCGGCTAAGTGTGACCCCACAACGGGTCCGATCACGACACAAAAGTAGCAACAGAACTCGATCACTTTCCAAAGGGCAACCACATGATGATATAACCCATTCTGAGAGTAGAGCATCCTCACACAGCCGGCATTACCGTGTGCAACGATCCGAGCTTGGCAAAGGAGTGATATATCTACCAAAGGAGTTCAACCCTGTCGCTTCCATACAAGCTCTAGAAGCATTAGACAATTTCAGAACAAAATGCTTTTTCAGCAGAACAGAAGACAAATCAAAAGAACCAGTCACCACGTTGAACTATTTCCCTATGCAGCAGGAAGTCGCAAGGCCGAGCGGTGCCATCAACGAGGCGTCAGATGAAACAGCTTTCACCAACCACATGTTCCTCGCTTCCTACGATCAAAGTTATTTGAAAAAGTTTACTCAGGATGCTCATTTCGAGTCTGTAACAAAAGAGAGAAAGAATAGATCTTTTAGTTCCAAGTACACAACCGATGCAAGTGTTTACAAACAATTTGTAACGGAAAGTCGGCGGCAAGATATGTTGGTCATTGGGTGCCTTATTGTTGAAATTTTCCTACACCAATATATGCGGCCTTTAAGAAGTTCCAGCGACAGCTTCATGGAGCGGTACAATAGCTGTAGGACTGTCGTAAAATATAACTTTAACGTATTGCCAAAGTGTGTCAGTTACATAACATCCTTATTATTAAATGTTCAACCTCCCAGTTTGAGTTTTAGAAACGAATTGGCGCCAAAGGATGAGATTTTAAAGAAGATAATAATTACCAATAAAGGTCTACCTCCACCGACGCCGTCACAGTTGCTGCAGCCCTTGTTAATGCAGCATTTGATACCATTTCCTCATAGCTTCATTATATTGTACAAACTCCTTAGCACCCTTCACGAATATGAATTGACAAGTAATGAATTGAATATCTTGTTCATGTACGAATGTGATGGTGTCCAATGTGAAAAGTACCTGAATGTTGATAAAACAAAATTGCAATTTAGCCAAAAAATAGCTGAAGGGAAAATTCAAGCTTGTGTAACTCACTTAGATGTTCTTTTGAACCAGATCACTTGTTATAACCAGTTCGATGTTCTCGACATTTTCGTCATACATTACGTAGAACTATTACGAAATAAAGAAACATCAATATTAGCCGCCTGGTATTTGTTTGATACAGTTAGCAAAGCTCTAGGACCAGCCGCAACGAAAACGAAACTACTGAAACACATATTGTACCTCTATGAAGAGGAGGACCTAGCTGAAAAACAAGAGCGTCATAAATCAATAGATGTCGACATCTCGGCAGAAACCACAATTCTGTCGAATAAACAAAAGTTTGTAAAATTATACCATAACATTTTTCTTCTGCAGCTGATGGTACGACTCGGCCTACAATGTTTCTTAGATAATTTCACTCAACATCTTGTGGAAGCAGTTGGTGGTTACAAAGATGAAAGTATGGAGGTCGGGTCTCCTGGACATATATGCAACAGTAAAGCAGCAGCTAACAAGAAACCCAGATATTCTGACGATAATGTTAAGAACGCTTTGACGACTGGTACTGATATCTTTTCACCAGATACATCGTACGGATCAGAGCACGTCGTAACGCCTCATCTCGAAAAGTGTCCGGTAGATGTAATAGAATTAAAGGAAAAGGACAGCGACACAAGAAGTGACGGTGAATTGTTTCATTTTGAAAGCGACAAAGAACTACCAAGTCGAAATAGTAGAAGCAAATCTCCGGCAGAATCGATTGACTCGTATCATTCCAATCAAAATGAAACAGTACCATATACTCCTTCGCCATCTAAAGACGTTATTTCACCAGGCACATCGAAATATTTCACGCCTAGTATAAATTCGAAGGATTTAAGTGTGACAGTAAACAACCCATCCGATCCGGTATCTGAGACTCCAAAGAAACCCATGTCACCTACAATAGATATTCCAACAAAGACTATGTTTACAAGCTATTTACATTTCGCTGACGACGAATCTCGTCAAGACGAAGTGGAGGGCAATTCTCGTTCACGACAAATCAAAAGTCTCGAACTTAATCGAAACTCAGAAATACATCACGCTCAGACTTGTCGGAGTTTTACCGATATCGATATCGGTGAACCTTGCAATGATTCGACGCAATGCAAAATATCAGACATGAGTTCTGAAAGTTTAATCTGGCTAGCTCATCGACTAGGTCCTGTACTTACTTGTAGATATATAGCAAGGAATTTGCTCAAGATGTTGACCTTATGTTATATCGGAAAGGAAAATTTCACTTTGTGCGAAGGAGAGGAAAAAGATGAGTTTGATGACATATCCATTGTCGAGTGCCGTGTTGTGGGCGACAGGAATGCCAAGAAAGTTATCAAGTGCCTCACTTCTATTGTAGGTAAGACAACTTCTCTATGTTTAACAAATGTTGTTGAATAGATTGTTCGACTCATTTAATTCTTGTTTCCTAGGAAATTAAGAGCACATAAGTACTCCTTTCCCGATCGCCGAAATGTTTATAAAATTCGTTTTTAGTTATATAGAGTTATCAATTTGTTTTTTTTTCTTTAATACAGTAAGTATATAGAATATCTTCTAATCATGTCCTCAGCTATGTACGGCGAGCAGCTCATAATATTCCAATACCTGCCTCACATGGGTGAATTGATAGCGTCTTGTCGCCGACGGCTGTCAGCCCCCTTGGAAGGCGGAGTGGTCGCTTGCCTCCAACTCGTCAAGTACCTGCTGCCTTATATGTCCGATGTGAAGGTTATGGAACAATTGTTGGTAAGATTGTAGTATATATTTGATCTTTTTGCCATTCTCCAAAAGAAGTTTTATTAACATGAATAATGCTAAGATAGAGGTCAGTGTCATTCGGGTGTTTATTAATTGAAAATACCTTTTGGGATATGAGCGTGAATGTTTACATAACACCAACTTATTAGACTTTTACTTTATTAGACACTTGATATAAATAACATTATTTGTATTTATACATAAGTTGTTATTATTTGTAGTTATATATAAGTTGACTTTATTCGATTATAACTCTTCTTATAATGCATGGATTTTAACCGGGACATTGTTGATTATATGTTTTTTTTTAAATCTTACAAAGCTTTTAAAGGCTTTTTCATCAACAGTTTACCAGCATTTGTCGCTTCTATTCCATAATGCATGTGGTCTTCACCTATAATTGTAATAACATTAAGCTTAAGTATTTTATCATTACCTGCTAGATTGTTGTGTCAATGTTTATTATGTTGGTGATCAAATAAATAAATGCTGTATAACACAACTTTGAACAATTAATGTATATTTCACATTATCTAGGTAATGAAAGGTGACTTTAAGAATCATTCCTGAAGTCACTTTTCAACTGGACGACTTTGTAAATTATAAAACAGGGAGAAACAACAGCCCTTGCTTAGTTTCTTGCCGGTTCATCTCAGTACAAGGTCTCCCGCCGTAGATTTACGGACCGATGGCGTAGCTTCTAGACATTTATGAGTGCTTGTATAACAGCCTAAACTAATTATATGACTTTGATAATTTTATCATTATGACATGGGCGTTGCACTTTTGATATGTCTAGGTAATTTTCATGACGGCCATGGCCATTTGATAAACATACAATTTTAATTTGCTAAAAGTTGGCGTGTATAGGAGAAAGAGAGAGACAAAAATACTTTATATACATAATGGGTGTTTCATAAGGCTTAATATCAGGTTCATTTGTAATTTGCCTACCGTTAGGAAAGCTTTTGTATGGTTTGCCATTTATATCTGAAAGCATGCAGTCGATATGAAGAGATGAAAGAAGAAGATGATAGCCAAATCGAACATGTTTTTGAGGTTCCGTACCAAAAGGGTAAAACGGGACCCTATTACTAATACTCCGCTGACCATCTGTCTGTCTGTTTGTCACCAGCCTATGGCTCATAAACGGTGATAGCTAGACAGCTGAAACTTTCACAGATGATGTATTTATGTTCCCCCATAACAAAGAATACTAAAAACCCGTCATATTCAGTTGTGTATTCACTTCAAAAATTAATAATAAAAATTAAAGTAATATTTAAGGGGGGGCTCCAATACAATAATATTCATTTCTTTTGCCGGTTTTATTTGATATTGTAAACATATGTTTAATATTGTGTAGATAATGGTACGGAACTCTTCGTTGCGCGCGTCAGACTGGCACTTGCCCGGTAATTTTGTTTAATATAGATTTACCTTTTAAACTTTATATTGTTCATTGTCAGGATACGTTCCTAAAGTCGATATTGCAACCAGCCTTGCGCCTAGCGTCGACTAGCCGGTGCTCATACCCCAGCGGTGCCGCGGCGAGGTCGGCTCTGGCTCGCAAGCTGCTTGAAGCGCTGCATGTGTTGGCGCTCCGCATCGGTCCCGAAATGACTAGAAAACACCTCTGTGTACACGCTTTGCAGAGGTAAGAGGGGATTTTACTACTTCATCATCATCTGATGATGTGATGATGATGATCATCATCAGCCTATTAATGTCCCCACTGTTGGGGCACAGGCCTTCCTTATGGATGGAATAGGGAAATTGGGGCATGAACCACAACGCTGGCCCAGTGCGGATTGGCGGGTGCTAACGACTGCATATGCAGCTGGGACCAACGGCTTAACGTGCCTTTCGAAGCACGGAGGAACTCGAGATAGAAGATTTTTGGTCACACATCCGATGACCGACCACTGCAAAAGTTTCTTAATTCAACGATCGCAGCCGAACGCGCTAACCACCGCGCCATCGAGCTCCTACCTCGCTTTTACTACTTACTCACCTTCATTTAAAGCCATGGAACTCCCCCACTAGAATCTGTATTTTTAAATTTTTGCTTGAAATTGAATCGCCAAAGTTGGTGGCGTGCGGGGAAGGTAAGCTGCGTTTTGATTGGACTTGACAGTCAAAGTCAAAAAATCTTTATTTCAATTGGATGCACAATACAACTGTTTTGAATAGTCCATATTTTGTTCCCTACTATCAGTTAAGGACTTTTTTTTAAAACTGGCGAAATAAATTTCACAGTGTCAGTATGACGTCACGATCTTGTGACAAATTCCTAGAATAATAATTTACATTATTATTATTCGACTTTATTGTTGTTTTTTTTCAGATTCTTCTTAGCATTCGATAAAGCTACTGGAAAGACTGAAAATTGGCCGAAACAGGACGAGGTTAATCCTGATAAGGTAAGTCGCTTGAGTATGAACCTTTATTTCATTCCAACAGAAATTACACTATTTGTTGCAATTCCTATGACGTAGTGCAATAAATGTTGCCTATCTCTTAGTCGCATTTTGTGGAATTTGTAAGCATTTAACATATGCGCTCATAGCTTTGGAGTGTTTTAAAATTTTGATTATTTTCGGGTCATGTATTATATTACATTTTTACGTACCATCGTTCACACGTCCGTAGCGTACGTGCTAGAGGGAACAAATCATAAATCGATTGTCCTGAGCATGAAAAATTATTCTTATCGCCATCATAAAGGTTTCTATGGAAACTAGGCAGCGCCCCTACCGGACGCAAGAACAAACTAGTACCTTCCATAGCAACTTAAACGATGGCGATACGAATACCTCTCTAGTTGTTCGTGCTCACCCCGCCGGTGACCTATAGAGGGCTAGGTACCTATCTATCGTAAACTTCTTTAAGGCACCAGTGCTGCACATATCAGGTTGTGGTTGTTTTCATTTTGAATTGTGCAAAACTCATTGTAAATACCATTATAAATTTATTTGGAAAATAAAAATATATTATTATTATTGTGAGGAGTTCGGCGGCGATCGTTGAACTTAAGCAACTTTCGCAGTGGTCGGTCATTGGAGGGGTGACCAAAAATCTTCTATCTCGAGGCGGAAGGCACGATAAGCAGTTGGTCCCGGCTGCATCTGAAGTCGATAGCACCCGCCAGTTTGTATTGGGTCATGGCCCAAACTCCCTATTCCATGCATAAGGAAGGCCTGTGCCCCAGTCATGGGGACATTAATAGGCTGATAATGATTATTATTGTTGGTCAGATTTCTGAAGAGGGTCTCGACAACCCAGCGGACGGTATCGTGGAGTTGTGCCGCGACGGCTCCACGTGCGAGTGGCGCGTGCGAGAGGGACGGGTGCTGCGTGCGGACTTGCCCGATCTCGCTTGCACACCGCCCGCCCCCTCTGACCGCTCCGCCGATCCTGCCGCGCTCACTGTAAGCTGCACACCACTCTTTTCACAATTTATTTTATTTTATTGATGTGTAACTTCTTTCCTCTCGCTTTCCTGCAATTTGTGGGAGTGATTTCGTGAAATGGGACGGAAGTGTGTAACAGGAAGTCGCGAAAGCGCGCGCTATTTGATTTGATTTTAGAACATCATGTGCAAATGGCTTATTCCTTTTGTAGTAGGTTTTATTTCTTTATTTACTAATATAAGGTGAGGTTTCAAATGTTACACATCATACGCGACTACTGTAAGGCTCGCTCGTTTTTTTTTATTTTATTGACAAAGATTCATTACAATTTTAAAATATGTATGTACCATAGTTAAAGATATGTTTTTTACAGGTGAATACAACATTTACATAAATACAAATAAACTACAATGACAGATTAAACAAACAAAAACGAAATCCACTTACATGATAAATAGGCATACTGAATCATAATATCATTTAGTCTGTGTTACGGTCCAATTTTAATTTTTGCACAAACAACCTCTTAGGTACGCGCTCAAAATCGTGGAAAACGTCGACACTGCAGTCTTGTAAATCAATGTAGGTACGCATACACCGGTATAGAGCACACTCACCAAGTCTAGTATTGTTACGAGGGAGATCAAAGCTTTTTGACAAAGGATATCTAGGTATTCGATAAGGGACTTTTATATTGACCTGTTTAATTAGATTTGGATCACAAATGCAGTAAAATTTAATTTTACTGAAAGAAAACTTGATACGAAACAACGATATTAGAAATCTTAGATACAACATCGTGGCCGAAACCTGCCCAAAAGGTACATTGAACGAACCACGGAGCTACGTGGGATGATCGCGTAGCTATATCAATATAAGGCATTATTTCAACACTACGGATAGTATATAAGGTCTTAATTTTAACGCATGCGTCAAAGAGTTATGACAGTTCGAAATGTAAGCTCGCAAAATTTTAGCACTTGTTGTCTATAGGTGGAAGAATATAGACTTTATATCGTAATTCTGAATGTGCTGTTAGTAATATAGCAGGCACCAAGCGCGAGGGAACTTCATAATCGACCATGCACTTCATTATTACAAATATTTTCTATTAAATCAGTTTGTAGTAAGTATTAAAACAAAATTTGCTACAAATGCGTTAAATAGCGTATTGTTATGATCACCTGATGTTGATGGATAGTCCATTTTAAATTTTTACAAAATAATATCTCGAAAGTCGAAAAATTTGCAAAAGTATGAAAGCCAGCGACGAATAATTACGACTAGTGACAGACAGGAGTGACGTCATCGGAACCATAGGTCAGTTGTCGCGCGAAAATTTAAACTTTCAATTTAAAACCGCATTTTTACCGATATATTACAATGTTTTAATTTTTTTATATATCTGTGGTTTATTCTACATGGAATTCTTTTAAATGAAAACAAAAATAAAAATATTGCATCTTCCCTATTAACAAACATTGATTTGATACCTGTCGAATAAACGATAACTCTACGTTCAATAGATGTTTTCTTTTTCGCAATTGTTCAAGGAGCTCTGAGGCATGTTGACTTTTCAATGGTCCGCGCTTGACTCTGAACCAAGAAGTGCTTAAATGGCGTTCCAGCTCTTCTTAATTGGGACACATTTTGAGCGCTCGTGGTGTATCTAAAGTTTTAATCTCGTTGTTGCAAAATAATTACAAACTACAGTATAAACAGCGCCACCCGCTTCATTGGTTGGAACTCTGATTCTATTTTTACAAAAACTATAAGACTTACAACTTTCAAAGTTATATTTACAGAAAGAGAGTATCATAATGAAATTCATTGAGATCATGGTGTTTATTAAGAAATTTCATTTGAATAATTTGCATCAGGGGGTCCACCGGAGGCAAATGGGAATGAAGTGATTTCAGTTTTTTTATTCCCATTTACCCCTGGTGGCAATCCCCTTGGGTTCGAATGGGAATAAAGGGTTTTTTTTTGTGTCACCAAACCCACACGTTAGCAATACGAAAAATAGATTTAACCGAACTCTTCTTGATTAATCGGCTCTTGCTTTTTTATTCTCTAACGTCAATTGACGACCTCCGTTGCCGAGTAGTATGTACGCCGGGTTTCAAGGTGTCGCCTACTCGAGAGTTCGAATCCCGCTGGGGGCAGACGTTTGTGTGACGACTACGAGCATTTGTATTCCAGTCATGTATGTTTAATATATATTTCTATTTGTATATACTTATATATGTATCAGTGTAAGTATTCTATCCGTTACCCTATCTCATATCACAAGCCTACAGTGCTTACTTTAGGGCAAGGCTAATTGGCGCGAGTGTTGGAATAAAAAAAAGCGAGTGTGCTTATGACCACACGACTGAAGTGAAATTTCTTTAGCTCCAATGATCTGAAAATCATAAACTTAACCTGAAGATTTGTTGATAGAATATATATACAAACTAAGTTTTATAATTCGTTTTATTTAACAGGCGCAAGAAGAATTGCTAATGGTATTTGACGAAGAGCTAGCTTACAAAGCGTACACAACGTTTGCGGACTTCGTGGGTACCGACACTATGGAACAATGTCTGAAAAACATCGACACGATACGCGCGCTGTGCTGCAAGTACGAGCAGGCTCACAGTGTTAGGTCGGTGGTTTAAATCATATCATCAGCCTATTAATGTCCCCACTGCTGGGGCACTGGCCTTCCCTATGGGTGGAAAATAGGGAGATTGAGACCCACCACGTAGGCCCAATGCGGATCGGTGGGTGCTAACAACGATATATCTAGACGACATTGTTATAATTTAAATATAGATTTTATCCAACGTATTAGAAATGATATGGAGGCATTGCTCTCTAACCAACACCGCTAAAACATGATTAGGATCATGTTTTACTCATACAATTAAACTTCAATACTAATGCGACATGCACATTGGCAAAACAGAATTCTTTGATAATTCAAATATCTTGCAAACTATCCATTCATTGGATAAGATAATGTTAAACGGAAATCCCAACCAATCCCATGATCGGTGTGTTGATCACATTTTTCGCCACGCCCACTTGATCGCAGTTTGCGTGGAACCACTTTTTACCTTAGTTCGTATTCCATATCATTTGCAATTAGTTGATTTTATCACTTGTACACAAACTTTGTAACTTGTTTTTGAGAGAATTTAAGAACCATTTTATCTAATAGTAATAAGAGGAATTGATTTATCTAAAGGAAGACCGCTTAACTGCGTCCTTGCCTGCAGGGTAAATAAAGGGTGCGGGAGAGCTGCCCCAAACCTTGTTTTTTTTTTGAATCAGTTGTCTTTTTATAATTATTTTGAATATTACTTTTAAAAGTCAAATTGAGACATACATTTGGAATCTTCAAACAATCAGGTTTTAAAAAATAGTTTATATCGTGTTCGGAGTTGAAGGTTTTGTCATTAATTAGCAGTCTATTTAGGGGCAGATCTTTTCAATCAAAAAGGGAAACAAATCTACGATATAACGATTAAACAGACTTTTGACTGACAAAACTATTAATAATATTATCCTCCTATACCTCGCAGTAGTCCACTGATGATCCGTCCAGAGAAACGCGTCCAGACCTCCTTCAGCGACGAGCCGATTAGTCGGAAGACTATCGACATTACCCCTTCCAAGTCCGACCTGTCCGAACACTTGTCCGGGTCGAACAGCTTCGGCTCCAACGTCACGTTGGTCGGGAATAGAATTGACGTTGCCGTAGAACCGGTGGGAATCGCTAGAGGGCTGGATGTGGTCGCTTGCAAGATAGACAACGGTGTGAAGAGCAATAGGTGAGTCAAAGTTAGTTTAAATAATTTGATAGGACTGTATACTGTAAGTCGGAAGACTTCAGTGCTATCAAATTATCTATCTACATAACCCCATTGAAGTCCGACCTCTCCGAACATATATCCGGATCAAATAGAATCGGCTCCAACGTCACGTCGGTCAGGAACAGAATCGATGTGGCCCTAGAAACAGTGGGAATAGTCAGGAGTCTGGACGTGGTCTCTTGTAAGACAGACAACGGTGTGAAGAGCAAGATGCGAGTCAAAGTAAGCTTACAAAAATTTGATAGCACTGTATTTTTTTTATAGTGTAAGGATCGGAGACAGAGGTTGAGCTGGAGAGTTCCGTTCATCACCTATCAATGAACCCACTGCGGGGGCACAGGCCTTCCCTATGCACGGAATATGGAGATTGGGCCATGACCTACCACGCGGGTCCAGTGCGGGTTGGTGGGTGCTAACGACTGCAGATGCAGCCGGGACCAACAGCTTAACGTGCAACGTGCCTCCCGAATCACGGAGGAGCTCGAAATAGTTTTTTTATGGCATCGACGTTGCGCATACGCTGCCACGACGACGACGCTCGAAAGACGCTGGTTAGGGGAGCGCTTATTTATAATTAAACTTCTTCCGCTTGGGAACAGTACGATAATTGGTAGATAGAGCCAGTCTAACGAATCATGAACTTGCAATTTTTCAAGTCTTGAATATGGGAATATTTGAACTGTCACTTTGATGTTACGATTTGGCGAGTTTTTGGGTGGGTGGGTTTTGATACTTTTGTTTATTTGGGTATTTCATTTCTTATATACAAGTAGAATGCACTACTGAGTATTCGACTTAAGTAGGTAGCAATATTTCTTAACAGTAAAATACTTTATAACAATAAATCCCGACTTTGTACATAAAACCCTAAAAAGGCGGTGTTTACAACTAGAGAATTTTTAAATTTGCCGCTTGTAGGGTCACAATGACTAGATAACGTATCGCCATACATCACACATCACGTATTTACACCTAAATTATTATCTCACAGGCATCTCCGCGGCGATTGGCTAATATACTGGGAGCACGAGATAGGTCGGCCGGACAAGGAGACCCGCTTCAACCTGAAACAGATCAAACTGCAGACCTTTGTGGGTCACACGCAGGCGGTGAAATCTATACACTGTCTGGACAACGAGCACAGCTTCATGAGCGGCTCCAAGGACAAAACCGTGCGCCTGTGGTCGTTAAGGAATCAGGTGCGTTATATACGTAGACATATTTACATAATATAAAACAATATCAAACGATTTCATAACCTCTATTTTAACTATTTAAACCTGTTTTTGCAACATTTTTCATCGATGTTCCGACCCGGATGATGCGTGATGTTATAAAGGTAGCATAAAAAAAAAACTAGGAGATTAGCGCGTTCAACCCAAAAAAACAAACTCCTGCTTTATGATATAAGTAAGTATATACTTTTCACGGAAGGCTTATAATTATATGATGAAAGTCATTTTAGTCTACACCACAGCTCTACACCGAAGCGAAGGCGGGCCACTAGTAATTTTAATAAAGTAATCATAAACATGTGAGTGTACAAGTGATTAAAAGAGCTTTGCTAAACATGAAAGTACACTGATTGGCCGATAATTTGTACATGAATCTTTTTATTTCAATCTTTAAATATGGGTACGTTAGGGAATATATGAATATCCTGAAAAATAATAAACGATCAACATAAAAATACAACTGGTATAAGTAGGTTGGGTTTAGGTTAGGTAACCAGATGTATTTTTTCAAGATCGTTTAAATATGAGCCTTTAATAAAAACGCGTTGATTCGGATTCTTAAATTATTTTTGTTTAGAAGTTTCGGAGCATTTACTGTGAATGGTCACAATGCTTTGTCTTTTCTTCAGCTGGAGTCTCGCTAAAAAGTTTTTTTATTTTTTTTAGGGTGATGGCAATGCGACTACTCACTGCAATTGGACATACACGGGTCATAAGAAAGGAGTTTTGTCGTTGGCATTCCTTGAGTCGATGCGACTAGCGGTGTCCAGCGACTCGGTGGTGCATATCTGGGACCCATTCATGGAAAGCGTTGTGTCACAGGTAGGATAAAATTATATTTATTGTAATTTTTATAAAGTCCAGATTGTCTTGACCAGTTGGACTTACTTCGGTAGCGAGAAAGAGTTTTATAGGTATTTAGAAATGTTAATGCATCATGAAAAGAACAATTTCTGTTTGAAAAAATAAATGTTATCATGTAACATTTTCCCGTGCTCAAATGATTTCTGCTGAGGATATGCTACTATTATTATTCGATAACAACTTGCAGTCATCTATGCCTAAATTAGGCCTTGTTACGTTTCACTTGTACGAGTGATATTTTTACGTTACCCTGTCTCATTTTGCTATGGCTGATTGATAAAGAAAAAAATATTACAGGATGTTATTTTATTATTTATCAAATTTTCAAAACGATTTCTTATTTTTATTTAATGAAAACATGCACTTATATTGAATATGTACAACGTTTTGTATAGGGAGATTTGCGATTTTGAATAAGCAAAGATTAAAATTATTATGTTGTCATTTTAACGACAGTATGTCCTTATTGTGCTCTTTAAGGAATTAAAAGGAGATACTATAGTCCAGTTTACAAATAACAAATACGAATAACCAAAGTGCCGGCATCATAAAAATCACGCACATCAATATCGCAAATCTTCCTTAACAAACGTTGTGTGAGTACAACGTTTGTAAAGTTTTTGAGGGTGGTTAACAAGCATGAGATCCGCCTAAAGGTAAGCCGTCACCGCAGCCTATACACGCTTGCGATTCAGAATATATAATTCGTGCCGTTGTCCACCTTGACCCAATCGCTTATCCCTAGAAGTCCTGAAGGCCTACTCTAATTCAACGAAAAACGAAATTTCGATCGAAGCTTCGCACTTTTCTTACTATGTTTCTGGTTCTTTTTTAATTATAATAATATTCGTCGTCGAAATATAGACTGAGGTTTAGATTTTCTACGCCTATTTAAAGAAAGCTTAAATTTGATAGTTTATCGTTCAAATTAAATTGACGAATTTAAATTTCGTTTGAACTTCGTTATCGAAAGTTCGTTTCGGAAAAAGAGAGTAGACCCCCTGGAACCTTACTCACCGACAGACACATAACCACCAAAAGGTAGTGTGATTTTACTGTTACAGAAGTAAGGTGATGAAGTAATGAAGCTGATTTTAGTTTTGAAATGTTTGTCGTAGTCCAGGGAAGGTTTAAACAGTGAGGAAATATTGAAAAATTGCCAGGAATACTGTAAACACAAACCATTTCATTTTCCCATATAAACTGTTCCACCTACTTTCCCATTTCAGCTATTTTAGCGAGGGGAGATTTTAAATGTCGTTAGAATAGGTGATACGAAGTACACCGGGTCATATACGAGTAGTATGGATTATAGTTATGATGTTTTTTCACAGCTGGACAATATAAGGGTGCCGGTGAGCATAGTTCGTACGCTAGGTGGCGCTTCCACAGCTGTGTTGGCGGCGACCACGGACGCTACGCTCAAGTTCATAGACGCACGCGCATGCAACTATACGCACGATCTGAAGGTGAGGGTTCTTGTCAATCACTTTATTATAAGTAAATGAGTATTGTAATATTTTTGGATTTTTGTAAGCATTTAACCGCTAGATGTTTACATCTAAAGCAATTTTTTTTTGTCTGCGTTGAATTTTTTCTAGTAATATTTTCTTTAGATTTTAATGAATATTATCAACATACACCAATATAAAGGTGCCGGTGAGCATAGTTTGTACGCTAGATGGCGCCTTCACAGCTGTGTTTACGGTGACCACAGACGCGACGCTTAAATTCATAGATGCTTGAGTCTGTTTATCGTTAGCGATAATAGGTTGACTCGTGTGTTTTTATACCGAAATTCTATGCAGTTGCATACACTACTATTGTATAATGTTTTAAAGCCTCTATTAAAGATTCTGAAACAGCTTATTGCCAACAATAAAACATCCAATGGAATTTAAAAATACCAAATCAAATAATGTTTTCATAACTTACATTCTTTTGCTTTTTAAATCTCTTCCACGCCTAGGGCTTACTCATCAGACAGCCACAATTTTTACTGATCGATGCGTGTTATGAATTTCATAAAAAAGAACATTGTCATTCAAGCGCGTTTCACTTCCACAGCGCCGAAATTTCTCATGAATTTTAAGCCCTTAAAAGGCCCTATGTTTTCAGAATATTTTATGGAAGATAAGTAACATGGGTGTAGATAAAGTCTTGTATGCAACTGTTATAATTAGGTATTAAAACACTATGTGATACTATTATCACCCACAACTCACATTCGTTCCTTTTAACACCCCACATTATACAACAGTTGCATAAATAAGTATTCTTATTTTTATGTATGTGCCTTTATAAAGTACTTACAGCTGTATAAAACCATCTTTGAATTCGTAATTCTTATTTTTCAACAGAAGTGTAGATAAACGTGTTTTTCATTATCCATACAGTTGCCGATGAGTACGACGACGTTCGTTCGTTGTATGTGCGTTTGTTCAAGCGGCGCTTGGGTGGCATGCGGATTGGCCAGTGGACATGTGTGCGTGCTGGATCTGCGTACCGGCCTACCGCTCGCTCATTGGCGGGCCCACGACGGAGAGGTAACATTACAGGCAGACTCACGCAGTTTCAAGCAGAGATCGCGTCTACGATGCGCCGGTCTGGGGCCGTTCAAGTATTACGTAAGCAGATTTATTAGAATTATTTACCCCTTGTCAGCAAAAGTAAGCAAGCTTACCCCCCCCCCCCCCCATGCTCATGTAAACATTGATACCTATTTTTCCTTTAATGTATTCTGTTTTTTTTATTGATTCATAAGCTTCATGAGCAGCAGTACTTAAATAGGCTTAGCATAGCGAACTTTAACAATAATCATTTAAACACACTTTATTGACACAGTATTCAACATAGAGTAAGGTACAATAATATAATCTTATTCAGTACTATTACAAACAAAACAAACTTCTTTATAATTTTTGGTACACATACAAATTCCAATTTAAGTCTTCAGTCCATTACACCCGAATCCATGATGCTGACTTAATCACTATTCCGACTTCCACCCCCCCATGTCATAAAAAATAAGCAAAGCAAAGATCCCCCTGCCCCCCTACAATGCTTACGTAATTCTTGAACGGCCCCTCTACCGCTTGCTCTCTGGCGGGCCCACGACGGAGAGGTGACGTACAGTGTATGCATACTAGAAATTATATTTGGAAATGAATTGATATAGTATTTTGATTATTTTCTGGAAATTTGACGACTGAAATAATTGATCCATATTATTTAACAAACTACTTGACTGATGATGGTTTTATAAATAATTATATTGTATTTGTTTTTATATATAATTAAAAATCTCGAATTAAATATTACATTAACTTGATGCAAATACTAAATTTCTGTGGCTAAACCGGGTTAATATACGAACATCATCCTATGTAAGTAACACTTTACAACTACATGGATGAGCAATAAATTATTATTGTTACAAATATGATATTTTTTATGGCAGGTTTTAAGGCTAGCTGTGGTGGATGAGCACAGATTGCTGAGCTCTGGTCTCGATCAAGCAACGGCGCTGTGGCGACCTGATGATGGCGAATTGATAGCTCATCTCAAGTGAGTATGATTTTTATACTTATCATTTACCTATTATCGAACAAAATATCTATCTATTTATACCACAAAACACAGAAATAGGTTAGAAACGTGAAAACCCCCGACTACACTTCCACTTTATGGATAATAGTCAATCAAACGACGTGACATCAAACAATTGAACCAATCAGCGCTCACACCCCAGAGCAACGACGCAATCAGAATCAAGTTTTGGTCAAGTTATGAGCAAATGCTCACACGTAACTGTGGCCCGCCTGCCCCGCCCACAAGGCCCATCTTACCTCTTGTTGTGTTCTGTGATCTATACCATACACACATGGCCAGTTTCAATAATAACAGAAAATAAGGATAATCTCGTTCTGTTTCTTAACAACAGATATTATCATCTAAATAATAAAACAATTTAGGCAACAGATCTCTAATAGGTCTCTTACTGAAGATTGATTATTGAAACTGGCCGTCAAAGATTATAATTTCACTTTTAGTAGCTAAATAAACCATTAACTCAATAGTTTAGAACACCCCCACTAGAAACCGCATATAAGGGTACCCTCTTGTGCCAAGCTTATGTACCAATACTGCATAAGGATGACTTGCTCCCAAACTTCGCCATACGTCATTTCACCAAATTTGTCATCCGACCGTGACGTCACACTGGTGCGTCCAATCAAAACGCGGCTTACCCTCCCTGCATGCTACCAACTTTGGGTATTTTAATTTAGAACAAAAAAATGTAATAATGTTTCTAGTGAGGATGTTATCTAATTAATGTATATCATTGTCATTGGCAATGCATTTACTTCCTAGCTCTTATGCTGACACTTCACAGGGCTATTTGTGTTTGTTATTTGTCATTTTGTACCGAGTGGTTTGTACGCCAGGTTTCAAGGTGTTGCCTACTCGAGAGATCCGGGTTCAAATCCCGATGGGGGCAGATGTTAATGTGATGAATACGAGCATTTGTTCTCCAGTCATGGATTGATAATATGTATTTCCATATAAATATACTTATATATGTATTCTATCCGTTATCCTAGCATCCCATAACACAAGCTCTAGAGTGCTTACTTTAGGGCTAGGCTAATTGGTATGTGTTGGAAATATTTGATATTTATTTTGATAACATGTTGTCTTTATCCTACTCTAATAGAGAGTGAAAAGGAGAGACTGTTGTCAAGTTTACAAGTAGCAAAAACGAATAGCCATTAAATAAATCAAGTTTCGACGGATACAGATGCACTAATTAATTGTTTTTCCACGTTTCGCATCCTTTTCAGGCTTCATTGTAGAATTACATTATATTATGAAACCTAAGAAACAAATACTGAAGTACGGTCGCTGGGCTGAAAGAATTTCGTACAATCACCCCACGCTACCCATCCTTATCGATTGCGCGCAATTATGTTGCTGTCTCGCTCGCACACGTACCGTGTGCAGTACACGTAAGTAGCGTGGGGTCATTGTACGAAATTCTTTCTGCCCGGCGACCGTACTATAGAATAGCCATGTGAAGTGGGCGGCACTAAGATTATATTCGTATTGCAAATGTATTCATTATTACGACCTTGAATTCACACGCCAACATTTCTCCCAACAGGGGCAACACAGAACCGGTGCACTGTCTATCAGTCTACTACAACGAGCTAATATCGGGTACTACCAACAACCGAATCGGTGTACACACTTCCTTAGGCACAGACGCTAGTTTTTCCAGCACTAAACTTAGGTCCGATACTTTTAGAGGAGTGCTGACTTGCCTCGCGACTTTACCTCTGAACCGGCTACTTCTACTCGGCAGCGACACTGGCGCCATTACTTTACTATGCTGAGTTAGCTTAAATTGTTATGTTGTTTTTCTATCACAAACTTTCTTTAAGTTGGAAAAAGTTTTAGCCGACGCGGCGGACTCGTTTACGTCATCCAAGACAGCTGTAAACATTTTATGGACAGAAAACTACTCCAGGGTTTCACACAAAGCTTTCTTAACCCTACCTTTTTAACACAGAAGACGTGTGACGTAATAATCGCCATGAGCTTTTTATAAGAACTTACGTTTTCACACTCATTGTGTATGACATAGTCTGAGATAATAGCAGCTTCTCCAGCATGAAACTAGTGCCCGATACTTTCTGAAGAGTGCTGACTTGCCTCGCGACTTTACCTCTAATTTAAAGTACCTAACATGAACCCTGTCAGGGTATCGCAATATACCTCTAATTTCTCCTTATAGGTTACTTTTATTTGGCAGCGACATAGGTGCATATTAAATACCCTAGATGCACCACGTGCGCTCAAAATGTGGTACAATCAAGAAGTGCTTGAACGTCACTAGAGCACTTCTTGGTTCATAGTCACGCGCGGACCGTTGAAAATTCAAGTTGCCGCAGAGCTCCGTGAAAAATATGCGAAAAAAATACTAATAGTATGTAAGTGTCGTTTTTTCGACAGGTATGTAAACAATGTTAGTTAATTTAACGCTTTTGAAGCAAAATTTGTTGTAATACTTACTATAAACTAATTTAATAGAAAATACATGTGATTTTTAAATGCATGGTCGGTTATATAGCCAGCTCTTTTCCTCGCGGTCCGTACCTGCTATATTACGAACAGCGCATTCAGAATTATTGCGCGAGGATTCAAAGAAATAAGGTCTATTTTACGACTATATTCTTCCGCATATAGTCGTAAAATTTTACGAGCTTGCATTTCGAACTGTCATAACTCTTTGACGCATGCGTTTTAATTAAGACCTTATACAGTATGCATTAAAGGTGACATTCAATGTTTAAATAATGCCTTATATTGGTTTTGACAACGCGATCATCTTGCGGAGCTCCGTGGTTCGTCCAATGTACCTTTTGGGCAAGTTTCGGGCACGATTTTGTACGTGTTGGTGTATCAAGGGTTCTTTAATATCGTTGGCTGTGTTAGTTTAAAATAAGAATGCTGTATCACAATGTTGTTAACAAAACTTGCCTAAACGTGGAAAAAGTATTAGCAGACTCGTTTGCGCTATCGATAACAGTTGTATTATGTGGACAGAAATCTACTCCAGAGTTTCTCATCTGCCCAAGCATTTTTCTTGGAGATAACGCAGTAATTTTCACATATAAGCCGTGTGAATAAGACGGTGATAAGTATTCTTAGAAATCAAGAGCAACACGTAATGCTTGATGTTTTATCACGAGATGGACACTGGACTCACTTGTCTAATTGCCTCGACCGGTAAACCGGATATACTGTCCATCTGTTTAGTTTAATGAGTAATAAACTGAAATCATTACTTTTAAAGACATCACTTTAATAATGTAAAATTAGAGTTGAAACGGTCATGTGTACAGAAAGATGGACTCATTGTTGTCATTCAGTTTGGTTTGGACATCGACTTAAGACATATTAACGTGAGTTAACAGAATAATCCCACACAGACGGACTGTAACGCCAAGGAATTCTCACCTGCATCATGATATTCCTTAGAATTCATGACTTATAAATAAAGAGGGATAAGCCACTTTTTAATTCGTCCAGAAGACTTAGGCATTGAATTATTATAATGACGCCTAACTAATTGTAGGTAAGATGAAAATCTGATTCTTATACAGCAAAAAGTAAATATCAAAATCAAATGACAGTTTCAACAATAAATTACAAAACTTATATAAGAAAATGTTATAATTTTCTGTTATTGATTTGCAAAAGTAATATAAAGAAAAATATTTAAACATGAATGCTGTATGACAGCACTAAAAATACTATAAAGTAATAAAATTGTGTAACGACCGTGCACTCAGAGACTCCAATTAAATTTAATGCTTGTTGTAAGTGACGTGCTGTCTTACTATTGCTTTCGCGAAGAAAGTACAGATCTCGGCCATTTATAAGTCGCATCGAGCTTTAAAAAGAGATACTCGGCTAGCTTCGGCTTCGTATAGCGCCGTCTCTGTCACCCTTGTCAACCTGACCTTTAGACGTTGAACTACGACTGACAAGACCTTTAGACTTGTCAGTCGTAGTTCAACGTCGTTAAAGAGCAGTCGCGTTCTCCTTAAAATATATATACAGTGTTGCTAAAACAAATATGAATATAAATATTTCGTGAGAGAAAAAAAAAAGGATTATGAGGCAGTAAATATTTTATGAGAGGCTTCGTTTATCTATTAGTTTTTTGTATTTTGTTGAAAATCTTTTTGTATTGATTTCTAAAAAAGAAACAAAAAAAGTTTTAGCAGCTCTGAATAGTTACCGGACTGTTAGTGTTTCGTGTGACAGAGATGACGCTCTACAAAGCCGAAGCTAGCCGAGTATCTCTCTGTAAAGCCCGATGCGACTTATAAATGGCCTGGTACTGTAGCAACGATAACTTTGATAAAATTCTAAAATATTTGATGTCAGTGCGGAAGAATTATTATTATTAAAGTTAGCATAAATATTTATTATAAACAGTACTTATGACACTTGATTGCATTACATTTATATTCCATTGCTGTATTTAATTTGCTTAAGTATATATTCCTTGTTGTATATTTGTAGTTATTTATTAATATTCTGAAATCAAAAGTAAAACAATGTGAGCAGAAAAGTTGGAAAATATTTAAATTTACCATAAAGGAATGTATAAATATTCTGTAAGATTTTTTAAAAATATAAATAGCACATAATACATACTGACATTTATTTTGTATATATGTCGCAGTAAGACGTCCCTAGAGATATAATTATACGCCGTAACATGGTTATACGAAAGCGATTTATAACTATCTTCCTAGGAATATAATTATAAACGTTTCAAGTTTAGATAATTATATTACTTTATTCATTTTAGAAAATTAGTTGTAGGAGTTTAGATGTCATGTTTCCGGTTCTTGTCAGAACAAAAAGTCTCAAAACTATTGATTAGTTTTAAGTATTTTACAAACACCAAGATTTTTAATTAATAATTATTCGCATTTGTATTTTTAATGCTTAATAATAATATAATAATAATAATCATTTATTTGCCAAAATATGGTTACAATAGTTGTTAGCTCTTTAGTTTCCAGCATATTTTGTTGAATGTCAACGTGCAAATATTACATAATATAAAAGACAATTAAATTAATGAGGTTCACTGACGTCAAAATAAATAAAATTAATTTAAAGATAATAGATATACGCAATGTCACAAAAAAAAGTACTTATAATCTATGCATAATTAAAAAAGTCAGGAAAAATTGCATCGATATTGAATTAAAATGTCAGAAAATTACATATATTTATCATTTACATAATTTATACTATTAAATTAAATACACACGAATGTCAACCAAATATATATTAGGGTATTTTATCATTTAAAAAATCATTAATTGTATAGTACATTTTGTTGATTAAAAATGTAAATAATTCAGTCCTAAATTTGGTTAAATTCAGTTTTTTTATATTTGAGGGTAACTTATTAAATATACGAATGGACATACAATATGCATTTTTGGAAAATATCATTAGTCTTTGGATTGGAACACATAAGTCGTTCCCTTTCCTACCTCTATATTCAACATCTTTTTTTGCTTATATAAGTGAAAATACTTTTTAACAAACACTGCCATTTCAAAAATATATAAACATGGAACTGGCAGTATTCCAAGCAATTTGAATAAGGGCTTACATGAGTCCAAAATACTTAAATACAAAATACGATCGAAAAACGTTTTATTTAACATTATAATTAAATTATGATACGTGTTATTTGCTAAAAAGTATTGTAAGTAATTGCAGGTTACAAAAAGTTGTTTTTCAATAAAAATAAAAACCAATATAGGTATTGTTTGATTCTATGGTAACTTATAACTATTTAACCAGATTTGTTTAGTCAGATAAACATATTACTAGATTGCGACCGTAAGATAGTAATGAATCGCTTTCGTATAAATATGTTATATAACTATGATATAACTTTATTACGGATTTAACTATCATACTGCGACATATACAATTGAAAATGGTTTCATTATTTTTGTACTGTACTAACCAATAAGCTCAAAAGAATTCAAAAGACATTTCTGTAAAACTAGATCTCAACCTGTTTGTTGGCAGAACTATTTCTATTCTGGTTTGTTAAGTTTTATCATTTTAGATTATCGTGATATTTTTAGTAAATAAGTTTTTAGCATATTATCGTAATAAAAATTAACAAAAGCATAATAATTAAGCTTTATGCAATTTATACCAAAAAGTTTTATTTTGTATTTTTTTATTTAGCAACACATCACACATTCCTTTTATGTATTAAAAACTCATTATTTAAAAAAGTATTCCAAATGTATTGTAGTGTAATTTTGTTATTTTTGATGATTTTTACAGCCATTTGTGAAATAAGTCAGTCTTAAAGTCAATTGTTATCAATAAAGTACAAATGCATTGTTACCCACATATTTTATAAAAATCAATGCCACCTCAAGTAAAATATCAATACTATACATAACATTTTTTCTGATAAAAAACTATTCTAAATAATGATTCCTAAGTTCCTATATTAAAAAGAAAACTTAATTAGGTATTATTAGGCATAAACTCAATTGAGTTTCACCAATTAAATATTTGTTAAATCAATCGACTTACCTATTTATTTTGTGTTAAAAAAAGTCTTGGTTTCATAAATGCAATTATTTGCAATATTATTGAATTAGCAAATGCTCATTATCAAAAAAAATCTTTATTTGTAATGTAATTTTTCATGTACAAAAATTTATACCAATTTTTTTACTGTCCAACTTAAGAAGAAAGTCTTCGCAAGTAAAAAGTGTTCTGTATGATAAATAATAGTTGATATTTAAGATTGAACAGTAGTTTATTGTAATGGAAGTATGTATAATGTAGCCTTAATAGATATACATGTAAAAAACGGATCACCTCAACCATAAAAATCGGGGTTACTAATAAAGAGAGTATGATTGTTAAAATGCATGTAAATTGTGTATTAGTCAAGTGAAGGTATTTTTTGTAATAAAAGTATTTTTAGAATTTAATTAATTTGGTTTTACTTTGTGAATATGGTTTAATTATTGAGTACAACACGTACCATTGTACTTTCAAATGTTTTATTTTTTATAATTACAGAATAATAAGTAGAAATTCATTGATAAGTCTGGATTAACAGTAAGATAAACAAAATTATCATATTAATTTCGATATTTACCCCTGTGAAATGGGGCGTATTTTAAAATCTGGTCCCCAGGTCACTCCCTATTTGCACCCTCCCACCCCCTAGGATTAGTAAATAACAATAAAATATAGGTCAGTAACGAATGTCTCCTGCCGCCCCGGGCCTTCTTGGTCCTAGGGAAAATCGCCTGTTCCATATGTAACTTTTCCCTTTTATCGCTACCACTTGGGATGTATGAAACTTTTTATTAAACATATCCTTACTGATCCGAACGGTAGGGATAATTGGATATTTTTTTCCATTTATCGCTACCAGTAGGAATAAGTTTTTAAGGGTTTCTTGATTAACTAGGTTTTCTGAATAATTTGTAAAAAAAACGTCATTTAGGAATAATACGCCTATGGTTTCTTTTAACCCTTAACGTTCTCATTTTAATTTCCCATATAAAAATCATCTCCCGAAAAAGTACCAGGAACCTAACATGGCTAAGAGGTTCTGGTGTTAAAAATGGAAAGAAATGAAGTCTTACTAACTGGTTCTGAATAAGATTTTTTTCACTGTTTCATAATAATCAGAACCTCTAAGCCATGTATGGTATTTTGTTTTTCGTCTTATTATTTGAGTTCTACTGTACACCCAGGCTTCATTTTGTCTTAAGTTAATCCTGAATAGTTTATCTGCAAACTAATCTATATAATAGATGTGTAAAATAAAAACCATTACTAAATATGATAAAACGCAAAATATGAAAAATGATAATAATTTTCTCAACTCGTGGCAGAAATCTGCCACTTACACAGACGAGTGGTTGCAAAGAAAATTTTATTGCTTTAAGCCAATTTATTGTTTTCTTATATAAAATTTCAAAAATACTTTATATTTATAAAAAAGTGTTAATATCACTAGTAATTCAAGGTAAGGAACAACAAGTTAATGTTATAAAAAAATCTTGAAAACTTTCCCTACTGGTAGCGATAAATGGATAAAAAATGTCCAATTATCCCTACCAGTGCGGATCAGTAGGGATATATAGAATAGAAAGTTACATACATCCCCAAGAATGCGAAAAAAGAAAAAATCCAAGTATCGCCACTAGTGGAAATATGTCACTAGAGATTATATGGCATAGTAGGGAAATACGCCCCCGCTAATCCCTTACCCGTGGTACGGGGTATTTAGTATCGATCAAATTTTTCATATCTTAGGTTAAAGTTACGAAGGAAATTATTTGCCATATAAAACTACAACAAAAAAAATCGAAGAAAAATCGACCCAAAAGGAAGTTATACTCTTTTAAAGTTGTCAAATCGTTGAATTTAAAAAAATAACGAAATAATTCTAATTCGAAAACTACGCAAAATCGTAGAACATGCATCATGGGGGTTAAATTGATAGGTATGGTACTCAGTTATCAGCTCGCACTGGCTAGACCCCATTTTTTTTATAACGCAGGTAAAAAATGCTGTTTATAGACGACGGCGCCTTTAAGAGGCACACCGCCGAACGGACCTCACACCTGGCTTCCGCAAGTCTTACGATCCCCCCAGTGGCTGCCCACCGAGGACCCCGCAACTCTTACGGGCGCTTTACGGCATAATATCCACTAAAAAAGTCCTGCGAATACCTTCTACACTGCTTTATGCGAAGCCGCGGGGTTCCAGCTTAGGGATTCTACCACGACTCCGCACCCGGCAGCTTCCCGGCCTCGCCGGGGCTCCACGGCAGGGGGCTCTCGAGGTATTGCGGGGACCCCGCAGACGTGCGCAGGATGGCCCGCGCATGGGGCCTAGTACCCACCGTACCGCCCCCCGTCCGCTGCAGAGGGATGCTTGGACGGGTACTCCAAGCAACTCTCCGCCGCCCCCCTTTGTAGGACAAAACTACAAGAGGGGGGCCGCCGCTCCTGGGAGTGGGGAGCGGGAGGGGAAGCGTAGTTCTTCCCGTCACTCTCCCCTCTCCCGGTCGCCCACTGGCTAGACCCTAGAAGAAGCAGCCTGTATATCTACTATATAAAAATAAGTCGGGTTTTCCTTCCTGACGCTATAACTCCAGAACGCACGAACCGATTTCCACGGTTTTGCATTCGTTGGAAAGGTCTCGGGCTCCATGAGGTTTATAGCAAAGAAAATTCAGGAAAATTTAAAAAAAAAATCGTTTTCTTTTAATCACAAAACGAAATGTTATATAAAACGAAGCTATCTGGTGGCGAAACGGAGTTCGCTGGGTTTGCTAGTACTTTTATATATTACCTTTATATATAACCGTCTGGGTTCCCGTGCTCTAATTTGGGCGGTAAACCTGCCCTAACTCTCTTAACTTCTTTACAAAATTTTATTTAAACAGTATCAGTACAGTTCTATTTATACACGTTGAAGGAAACTGTCTGTCTGCCGCGACCGCTTGGAATTTTTTCCAGTTAAATTTTCTATACATTTAAACTATTACGTTTATACATACATATATTAAGAGTTTGAAAAGCATGGAGAAATATGAGTTGTTAATATTTTTTATGAATGAAGTAATACAGTGCCGTGGCATGGCAGGGTTGATTTTTAGAGAGTTGATTAGTGTCAATAGCATGATAAAACCTATAAAACATACTTGGTCTACAGAAAATTTCATTAGAAAAAAATCTACTCGATCTAGGTTGGCTCTGACAATGGCTGAATGACTGCAAAAAATAAACTTAACTGAAATAGTTATAACTTTTTTTAGTTTTTAAGCATGTAACTGCTTGATGTTTAACACTAAAGAAAATATAACTGGAAAAAATTCCACGCGGACCAGGCAGCAGACGGGACTCGAACCCGCACTCTTCGGTAACCGGGCGTATGCACTGACCAATTATACTACCGCGGCCCTGATGGCCGCGTCGAAATTCCTCTAGCCATTCTTAAGCTGCAAGGCAGCGCCATCTCTTCGCATTGTAGGTAACCCTCAATGTCAAATGAATACTTTTAAAAGTATTAAACATTTGAAAGAAGAAATAGCAGTTATATATTTTTTTTATTTTTTTTAACCATGTAACTGCTTGATGTTTAAATGTAAAGAAAATATACCTAGAATAAAATCCACGCGGACCAGGCAGCAGAGGGGATTCGAACCCGCACCCTTCGCTATCCGGGCGAATGCACTGACCAATTATGATACCGCGGAATTTCAACGCGGCCATAAGCGTTGAAATTCCTCTAGCTATTCTTAAGCTGCAAGGCAGGCATCTTTAGATTTAAACATTATTCATTTGACATTGTGGGTTGCCTACAATGCGAAGAGATGGCGCTGCCTTGCAGCTTAAGAATGGCTAGAGGAATTTCGACGCGGCCGCGGTAGCATAATTGGTCAGTGCATTCGCCCAGATAGCAAGCGAAGGGTTCGAGTCCCTTCTGCTGCCTGGTCCACGTGGATTTTTTTCGAGTTATATTTTCTTTAGATTTAACTGAAAAAGTTTACCTAGAAATCAAAATTTTGGAAACGTGAAAAGCAAACTGCATGGTTGTAAAGGTCGTAGCAGACCATATCAACCCGCTAAGGGATCGTCACCGTATCAACTCCAGCCTTTCAGTATTCTTTGTATAAAACTCCTTACTGCAACGCATACTAATCGGAATCATAACGTAATCGCCTCGCCTCGGGACAAGCCCCTGAACCGGGGCGGTGCTACCTTACGTCTCTCCGTACCCTAGCTTGAGTCTCTTCGTCCACGCCCCTCCCGCGGCCTCACATTCGGATTCATACTGATTGAATTGTTGCCAGCGAGCGGAGTCGCCTAGCAGTAGCTGAGGCGACAATTTGACATACTTGGAGCTGCTTATCCGCTTATGTTACATGCTTAGCCTAGGTGGACTCCTGTTTGACGGCAATTCGAGAGGCGAGTCGGCATTATATCGATCCGCTTCCAGGTTGAAATGTGTGCTTGACCGTAAAGTCGGATTATACGTTACGTTCTATGAAGATTAGAATTTGTGACAGAAATGAGTGCAGAAGAAACTCAGATTAATCTTCTTTACTGAGATGACATGTGTCATTAATGTCTAAGAAAGTAAAATTAGTCATAGTGATTCAAGCAACAATTGAGGATAAAAGTCAGAATAGTGTTTTATAAGGGTTGGCAAGCATCCAAATGCCACACCAATCGCGTCGATCTAGCATATCCCTGGTGGGATCACAGCGACGAGCTAGCCAAGTCACAGGAGCTTCCATCATTACCTCCGAGCTCAACCTTCTTAAGGAGGAAACAAATACAGGCGACCATTTTCTCACACCGACTCAGCTAGAAGTCGTTTACCGAACCAATGTGCAAACAGGCCTGACGGAGAGCTTTGCTGCAGAACTTCTCGAAATTCACGGCCCCAATGCCCTAAAAGAACTGCGCGGTAATAGTTACTGGAAGGTCTTTCGACACAACCTGTTCGGGTGGTTTCAGTGCGTGCTCTGGGTGGGAGCCATCCTCAACTTCGTGGCCTATTTCTTTTCCAGCCAAATTGATAGTGGCCATGAGGGCGCTGGACACTCGGATAAAGAATACCTATATCTGGGCTGTGTCATAACCGCTACTATTGTTGGAACAGGCTTTTTTGGATTTTATCAAGAAGCGAAAAACATTTCTGTGATGAGTGGATTTGAGAAAATGGTGCCGCCTAATGCAACTGTAATAAGGGATGGTATCAAGAAAGTGATACCCAACGTTGGAGTCGTTCTAGGCGACATAGTTGAGATGAACGGTGGGGAAGTGGTTCCGGCTGATGTACGAATTTTATCTTGTGTTAATTTTAAGACTGATATGTCTTCATTAACTGGAGAATCTGAACCGGTTAAACATCGTCCGGAATGTACGAACGCTAACCCATTAGAAACTAAGAACATGGCATATTTTAGTTGCCCTGTTGTAGAAGGAACTGCTAGAGGAGTGGTGATTGCTATCGGCGAGATGACACAAATAGGTAAAATTGCTGGTCTGGTTACAGGATTAGAAAAGGAAGAGACACCAATAGCTAAGGAGATAACTCATTTCATTAAATTAATTTGCGCCGTGGCGTTTGCATTTGGTATAGTTTTCTTTTTGATGGTGTTTTTCATTCAAAACAGTTGGTTGTCAGCCTTACAGTATATGTTAGGAATAATTCTTGCAAACGTACCAGAAGGATTAATCGTAACCTTGACGGTTTGTATGACGTTGTCTGCTAATCAACTCAAAAAGAAGAATTGCTTAGCCAAAACTTTGCAGGCGGTCGAAACCTTAGGCTCAACATCATGCATATGTTCTGATAAAACGGGAACGCTAACACAAAATCAAATGAATGTATCGCATTTATTTTGCAACTTTTTGATTATTGATAAAGATGATCACAGTCATGTTTCTGATCCTACTTATAGCAAACTATGTTTGGCAGGATCACTGAACTTGAAAGCTGTTTTTGTGCATGACACCATGAACTCGCCTATAGAAAAGAGGAAAATATTAGGGGATGCATCAGAATCTGCTATATTGCGCTACATGGAATTGAACCGGTCTGCCACCAAAACTCGCGAAGACAATCCAAAGGTAGCTGAAATCCCATTTAGTTCCGCATACAAATATCAAATCACAATTCATCTAATGCAAGCAACACAAAGTTATTACCTGATTATGAAAGGTGCTCCTGAAATTATTCTGGAATATTGTAGTAGGGTTCATACCGATGAAGGTGAGCAGCCCCTTACTCCCCAAATAAAAAAGGAATTGAAAGCAAATTTCATTAAACTAGCTAATATGGGGGAACGAGTGATCGGTTACTGTGATTACAATTTGCCAGTGGCATCGTATCCAATTGGTTATCTTTTTGACACGCAGCAGCGAAATTTTCCTATAGAAGACTTGGCCTTTCTTGGTACTGTATCGATGATCGATCCTCCTAGGCGTAACATTGACAAATCGATAGCACTTTGCAGACAAGCCGGCATAAAAGTAATAATGGTTACCGGTGATCACCCAGTGACTGCACTGGCTATATCACGTCAGTGCGGAACCATTACTCAGCCTACTGCTTATGACTACGCTTTCGAACAACATATTGAGTTATCTGATGTACCACCACATATAAAAAATCAATTCAGAGCGGCTGTTATTACTGGGGATGAACTTCGTAAAATGGGTGTTAATGATCTGAAGAATGTTCAAACTAAATATGACGAAATCACATTTGCTCGAACTAGTCCACAACAGAAACTATTCATTGTGGAGACTTACCAATCTTTGAAGCACGTGGTCGCCGTGACTGGTGATGGTGTGAACGATTCACCAGCCCTAAAGCGTGCCGATATCGGTATCGCTATGGGTATTACCGGTACTGAGGTCTCAAAGCAAGCGGCTGACATGATCCTTTTGGATGATAATTTCTCTTCTATTGTTCTAGGTGTTCAGGAAGGTAGAAGAATTTTTGATAATTTAAAGAAAACTATTGCTTACACTCTAACCTCTAATACCCCAGAAATGTTACCTTTCTTCTTATATGCATGTCTTGGCATGCCTTTACCGCTAACACTTATTTTGATTTTAGTCATAAATGTTGGTACTGATTTATTGCCTGCAATGAGCTTGGCATATGAGGACTCGGAAGAAGATATAATGTCCATCCCACCCAGAAAGCCGACCGATCACCTCGTTAATAGAATATTGATTTACATGGCTTATTTCCAAGTTGGTTTGATACAATTCTTCTGCGGGTTGTATGCCTACTTCGTGGTGTTTGCTCAAGACGGTTTCTTTCCGTCGAGCCTCATGTTTGTTCGCCAAGAGTGGGACAAAACTTCCACGATGGTGAGAGACACGTTGGGAAGGCAATGGAACTTCGCTGACAGAAAGGAAATTGAAAGAAAAGCTCAAACTGCTTACTTCGTGGCTATATGTTGGACGCAAATATCTGATGTAATTATTTGTAAGACGAGGAGAATATCCCTATTAAAAAAAGGAATGAGGAATCATGTACTGAATGTAAGTATAATAATAGATTTGATAGCTGCAGTGATAGTCACCTACGTGCCTATCTTCAACGAAGTGTTTGGTACGGAGCCGCTACTGTGGTACAATTTCTTCCTTGCGGTACCTTTTATGGTTCTGATGATTGTTGGTGACGAGATTAGACGTTATCTAATTAGAAATAATATTTCTAAATGGGTTGAACAGGAAACATACTATTAACACTGTTTTTTCCACGAAATAGATAAAAGGTACATAATTGTAAGAAGAATTTTTAATAGGAAGATCTTAGTTTAACTTATTCTTTAAGTTGTTCTTTCAGCTATGAAATGAGCGATTCTTGTTTATTTATTCCTTTTATTAAATAATTGACTCTAGAATATTTAAGTATTTTATTTAAACAATTAGGTATAATGTCTGTATTTATCTCAGTTATTGCTCGATAAAATATTTCTGATTGCACGTAGTTTATCTCAGGTTTCAATGTATAGCTGAATGCCTTAACGTGTCCTTGCAACATATGGGTACTTTTACATTAGGCTCTGCACTCGCTTTGTATAAGTTTTAATACAAAACTGAATACTAAACAGATTCCAGCAAATATTTTATTTTTTTGTCTTTAACTCAGTTTTTTTTTATTTGAATAGATTTGTAACAATTACCCATACTGAATTACGATTTGAAAAATAAAATTGTGGGTGGTGCGGCATGCATTAATTTCATCAGTTATCTGTATTTTGACACAACGCTTTACATCATGTAAGGGGGAGTAGTTGTATAAAACTATCTATTTTTTATAATATACATTTTGTTTCTTCTGTCCTTCTGGTGTTTATAATTGAAAACTTTCGGCTGGATCGATTATGATGAAATTGTATGTGGGCATTTTTGTATGGATCCCTGGAGGATTTTGATTTACAACTCGACCTGGATTCTATTAGGTAGCGCAACGTCGGTCGGGTCCGCTAGAAATATCTATAGTCCACTCAAATGTTATTGCCTATTATGACTATTTAGTGTAGCGTTACTTAACGAGTGACGCCGCTACTGATTTGCTTGACTATTATTTTGTTGTATTTGTAGTTTTTAGGACAAGGTTTGTAATTTTTTTTTTCATAATTCACCAGATTAGTTTTTATTGTAATATCAATATTTCATCAGTAAATTTCATTTGTGCGAAGCCGGGACGGTTATCACCGGCTATCTGGCTATCTTAGTATGCCTACAAAATAATGAGCGAAGGGTCTTATTGCGTTCTCGGATTATGCGTGTAGCACACATTGGTTGGGCGCGGCCGGTCGATATGAATTTTAACCAGGTGTACACGTCAAGCACTGCCTGTAGATACCGGAATAGCAACACTAATGTGACCCACATTTGCCGAAATACGGTCACTCGCGAACTTGCCAATAGATATAGGTAGCAACATTGTACGAGGCAACGGCTCGTTCAGCAGCGGATATCTAGTTCAGTACCCTAAGCACAAATCATTATCGAATTCGAATAGTTTGGGAGTCCGAAATGTCATTGTCAAATTTGTACTAATTTTTAGTTCTCGTTACGTCCTTTGTGGCGCTGCCGTTCAAGTTTCCATACAAAATTTAACAATGTCATTCCGGTCTTGTTAACTATTCGAATTCGATATTAGTTCATGCTTACAAGCTTTTGAGGATATTAGATTTTCGACAATGTCGTCATTTTTTAGCTAAATTGTTAATTTTGAACTATTCTCCTCTTTTTCAGATTAGTTACGTACAATCGTTTTTAAGAGTTCCACATCCTTAGTATGAACCAACATCGAATTCAAATAGGTAGTTGAATTCGATCTCGATACGCGTCAAATGTTATGAAGTTTTGTATGAAAATTAGAACAGTGACACAACGGACGTAACACGAATTAATATTTGTAGGTCCAAATATCTATCGACAGCTGATTTATTAAGAAAATCTTGTAAAAGTGCAGTGATAAACAAACGGCATCGACAAAGTACTTTCAAATTAGTATCTATAAAAGGAACGGAATGTTGCTTTGTAAAAGTTTTAGAAAAATAACCTATTCGTTGCAAAAGAATCAACTTATGATAGGTAACTATTACGAAAATATATAGTTCTTGTCAAAACGGCAAGAAACGCTCGTACAGTAGCCGAGACTCGCGTTCCACAGTGGACGGCGTTGCGTTTAGTGTCGGCTTACAAAAGCCACAGCTGTCTGTCTCACCTATATGTTGTCTAGATAAACCGCCAATTGACTCGTTTCTAGTTCGATATTTTATAGCATTCCCATGTAACCTTTACTTGGCTGCTACTTCGTCTGATACTTGGACTTTGGACTTGCACCACATACAGAGACAAATGACACAATGTTTCTATTATAGTTTTTGTGTTTATCCCCATACTTACATTCTGTGAATATTAAATTACATAACTACAAGTAATGTCTCCATTATGTACTATCTACATTAATAGTGTATAAAATCATTTCAAATAATTGAGTTACCTAGTTGTTCTTGACGCGATTACCTTCCATTTAGCTTAAAACACGTTATAAAGTACCTAGGTGCATGAAATTTTGCATAAAACGTTCCATTTTAGTAAGGGATATATATAAATGTATATTTAGGATACACATGAAGCTAGTTGAAAGTAGATTCTATAAATGTTTTAATGATTTCGATATATGTTAAAACGCTGAAATCAAATTACTACTTTTTCTCTGCTATCCTTTTCTATCAAGAACACACAAGAGCATTTACGGCAAAGCTTAGTTACTGACATGTCCAAAACGCAATCTCAGTTTTTGCGCCTGATAACTGACTATATCCGTTGCAGTTTAGAATTCTGAGTCGCGGTCACTGGGTATGTCAATCAATCCAGTTATTAACCCGATTTTGGATGTGTTACTATTTTTTAAAGTCTATTAGTTGAGAATGCAAGAACTTTTTATGCGATACATTTCGTAGAGACCTAATTATTATATTATTATTTTATATAAAGCAAAACCCAAATAAAACCTTTATGTCAAAACATAAAGGTTTTATTTAGCTTATCTTTAGCAGAACGTGAAAAACTAGAAAGTAAACTAGCAGAAACTAACTTTAATTTAAAACATCAGTATTTGTTTTGTGAATGATTTTTTGGACTGAAAGTACCTAACAAAATGTAACTGCTAATTAATCTATTAAAAAAGATTGTACATTCAGTTGGTCTAACTAATAGTTAGTAAAATTTTAAAGTAGTCACTCGTAATTAGCCTGGTCTGAACATTTAAGGAATATCACACGATTTGCACTCAACAAGACAACACACGATTAAGGGCATCCGTCCGAATGTTTTTAGAATTGTATGAGTAAGGTGCGAGTCTTACCTAAGAAGAAATTCCTTGAGTATGTTAAATAATAAAAGTTTGTATGTTAATTACATTATTGCAAATTATTATGTAATTTGAAATTTAAGGTTTGAAAATTTTTCTTATACATTCTCTGTGAGCGTGTTGGTATTATTATTATGACAATTTTTAATTCATGTAAATATTATTATTACGCACAATAAAAAGAAATAAGTATCTTCGTTTTTGCAACACAAACATCATGCATTTAATGTGTCTTCATGATTCAACTATAAATTTATATGGTTTCCACTAACAATTTTGACCTGTTAGAAAATGTTCACGCGTTGATGTCTTTTCTACGAACATCACTTGAACAAAAGCTTTGACCATAGAATTGAACCCTTTTTTTTCCATTGGTGTCGATTCTGGCCGGGTTTTCTAAACTTATAACTAAATTTAGCATCAGTCTCTCCTATTTATTCTGTATAGAGAATGACAGGGATACACTGTTGTCAAATTTAAGTTTAGGTTTAGAGAATGATGCCAGAATCGACACCATTACCAACTTTACATCAAATCAATACAGGTTTAAGATGCAGAAGGCAGTAAAGAACAATAGAAAAAAACGTTTTCGTTCTAATATTGGTGCAATTTATTTTCCTTGTAATATTACTTACTATTGGACGGGTATCCAAAAATTTATTGTCTCGAGCTCCTTCGTGCTTCGGAAGGCACGTTAAGAGTTGTTCCTGGCTGCATCTGAAGTCGTCGGCCCAGTCTCCCTATTAGGGTCTCCCAATAGGGACGGCCTGTGCCCCTGCAGTTGGGACATTAATAGGCTGATGCTGATTAATTAGTATTATACGAATGATAATTTTGAATCTACAACTGAAGGGAGAAGGTATGCAGGTTTATACATTTAATGTGAGAGGGTTTTTATACGAGGCGCAACAAATTACCCCACTATACCTGATGTTAAATTTAAGTGGAGTCCAGTCGCGAAGATAGATCATGCGGTATAAGGTGTGTCGTTCCAGCCATCCTCAAAAGTTAAGTTTATTAAGGTAGTGTTATTTTACTGTGGTCTTCTTTTGCCCGATTCCGATTTGCCCTACCGCGGGTCTTGTGCCGTTTTTGGTCACCCATCTTATTAGACCAGTAATTGTGAAAACTTAACTTCCACGATCGCAGACCAAATGCTATAATTTACCTATAAATTATGAAAATGATTTCTAAGAATCGAGAAGAAGTAATATTTCTTTTAATTAAAGAAACTTTTAACAAATAAATATTCGTTCTTATCTTACAGTTTGTCTAACCACCCTTCAAATTTGTTCCTCGATATTTTTCTAATCAAGGGACATGCGTGTCTACACGTACTCATGGTTGCGTCATTTCACAGGCAGCCGGCCACGCTAAATGATAGCGACAGATCAATATGTGTACCTTACATTGCTGCATTAAGCCTTGGACTTTTATACTGGGGCTAATTACTCTTTACCTATCTAAGGACCCTATGACCCCTTAAATCCATATTTGAGGATCTGGCGAACAAAACGGTGTAATTACATCAAATTAAATTTTGCAGGAGCAGTAAAAAACTGAATGACATACCTACAGTGAGCTTTTAGCGTGATTTTGAATTTAGTAATTTTAACACTTTTTTAGGCGGTTTTGATTGACAAGAGTTGAAATTTAAATTCAGTTGGCACAAAACCGTCGGGCCGTAAAACTAAAGTATTAGGCGGTCAAAATCATATGCGTAATTATACCGTTTTGTTCGCCAGCTCTTCATATATAAACTTATGCGAAAACATTCCTATATAAGGGTGGCCAGATTTATTTTTAATTTAAGTAATATTTGGTTAGGTGAGAGTGGTGGTGAGAAAATGTGCGCGCGCACTGCTTTCTCTTGCTTATATCCCCCACTCAAAACTCGCGTTCGCTTCCCCCGAACACACTTTTCGTAACGCGTAACGCATTTGCCAGCTTGCCCCCCAAGTCAAGCGTGCGTAAGAAGTTTCATTTAAAAATCAAAGGTACTCACCAAAAAGTAACTTTTTATCACATGTGCAGTAAACTCAATCAAAAGCGTATTAACTCTGCTGCTGGGCTGCAGACTTAGCGAGGGGTATCTTTACTGAGATTTGATTAATTAATTATAGTGATACTAGCAAATCAGTGAACCATATGTTCACCAAAACCTGATTTAAAAAAAATGTATTTAATTAATTGAGAACTTCGGAGATTTTGTGTGGTTTCGTTTGAAATTCGTGATTTCTCGAAAACCGGAAGTGCTACATTACTCAAATCCGGTTTGTAGTCTTATCAGACTATTCTTAACTTATAACTTAAATATTCTCTTTATCTATCTCTTACGGTTTGGCCGCTGAAACAGCACCACGGACAGACGGACTCATCTAATTGATAAGAGATACCATAATATCGATTTCTTAAACATTCAAAAATTCGTCCGCCAAATATTCTGATAGTAAATATTGGCAAGATAAAGAAAAAGTTTGGCCGCCCATCGACTATATTGGGATGACACATGTAGAGGTATAGGGGCGTCGTGGAGTTCCGTTACCCTACTCACAGGAGGAATAAAAAATACTGAATAGTGTCTTTAAAACTGTATGACGCTAAGATATTTTAACCGTGGTCCAGATAATTGGACTATCCCAACTGTACTACGGGCAATGCACCATCTGCTGTGAAAAGTTCTAGGGATATTTGTGTTTCCTCATTACATAGTTTCGTCATACCAAAAATTCAAAATACCATGTAATATTTTGAGTGTTCGTGTTGTTTTCTAAGGTGACATGTACAATGAACTAGACACAGTTCCCTCCACAGTGGGCAGTTTACATCTATGTAAGCCCTAGCTTACAGGTGACCACACCGCAGCACATGTGACCGGCTTTAAATACGGCGGTACTTCGAAGCAAGTAAGTACACATGCTCCAACGCAGACCAACAGCGCACGCCACAACATGATCGCCAAGGTACGTAATAGATTTAGATTATAAGTTTTCTTTAATAATTTTAATGGTAAAATTATATAGGAAAGAAAAAATATTGGAAATCGTTAACTTTATTAGTGGATTAAATTATTTCAATAAACCCTTAAATTATTCAAAGAATCTTTCACTTACAGAGTGACTGCTTAGTGTTGTGAAATACAAAATAAGTATATCATAAATACGAAAATATAATTATGTAGCCATAATTTACAGTGAAAGTAAAATAAAACTTGATATATAGACTCTTTATACCCAACTGCGCAATGCAAGAGCGCGAAGCGCGACGCGCAGACAGAGTTTTTAGTAATATTATTAATAGTTTTTTGCAGAAAAGTAAATAAATATACATTGTGTGTACTTGTATACCATTGTGAATTCAGTAGTCCAATGTAGGATACTTGATCATTGAAAGCAGTACAAGTAGTACAACGTTAAGCGTCATCTACATTTATTATCGTAGCAAATCATACTACGAAAATTTAAGCGTTAAATTCTGATATATTTTATTTTTAAATGGTTATTTCGGGCTCTCAGCAGAGTAGGAAAACGTTATAGTAGTTGGAAGAAACGGCCACATGGCGTTAAGACAGTATTTATATAGCGCCAAAATTTAATATATAGATGACGTAAATTGAATTTTATAAGCAAGAGTTTGACTTCGTTGGCTTTTTGATTAGTTTTTTGAGAATCCCAGAAGTACCTATTCTGGGTTAGCAGTATCCTATGTCCCAATACAAGTGCGCTAAATTCCATTAACAAACATACAAACTTTCATATTTATAAAATTAGCGATTTTACGCAGGTATTCCTTCTGTCCTGTGCGTGCGCCGTAGCGTTGGCTCGGCCGGGCATCTATGGTGGGATCGGCATCGCCGCCCCCGCCTACCACGCGCCGGCGATCGCTACACCCGCCTACGCCGCTCCAGTGGCCTACGCTCACGCTGCGCCAGTTGTCAAGGCCGTGGCAGCGCCCGTAAGTTTGCCGCTAACTATAACCGCGCAGGTATTCCTTCTGTCCTGTGCGTGCGCCGTAGCGTTGGCTCGGCCGGGCATCTTTGACGTAATCAGCATCGGTATCGCGGCCCCCGCTTACCACGCGCCAGTGCTTAGACGCTGACGCAGAACCCGCTGTCAAGGCTATGGCAGCGCCCGTAAGTTTGCCGCTGCCACTTTGCTTACTCAGAGGTGGTGCTCCTGATCAAATAACTAAAGTCACAAGGCATAGCACGTAAAGATTTGCAATATAATTATTTTTGTCAACAAACACCCAGTTCTCCACTTATGCCTACCAACCGACATAACCCTTTTGGTAGGTAGAATTTCTTTTTCATTTATTACGTCAATAAACTCCCCTGGTCTACCTATCATTACCAACATAACCCTGCATTAACCTATCAAGCGCCAGAAACTCTAACACATCTAATGATCACAAAGTAAAGTTTAAAGCAAGCTCTTCGACTAAAATCTCTTTTAAATTTTCAGATAGTCAGAGCGGAACCCGTAGACCCAAACCCTGCGTATAGTTTCTCGTACGGCGTTTCGGACCCTCACACAGGCGACCAAAAGGACGCGGCAGAGACACTGCAGAACGGCGTCGTACAAGGATCGTACAGCCTGGTGGAACCTGACGGTCACTTGCGTAGGGTTACGTATACCGCTGACAATGTTAACGGATTTAACGCTGTCGTGGAGAGGACAGGAGGCGCTCATGCGGTAAGGGTATTTAGAATAAGTTTTTTTTATAGATAGGTCCGAGAAATGACTCTTCCCCACCTGATGGTAAGTGACGGTTCACCGCACTTCAGTGCAGACGTGAAGAATACAGAATTAGTAAGCATAACCGTAGCCTATAGTTGTAGACTCCTATCGAAGCTGTTCTGATATTTGGCATCTTACAAGCATACAGCCTGGTGGAATCTGACGGCCGCCTGCGCAGGGTCACGTATACGGCTGACAATGTGAATGGATTCAACGCTGACGTGGAAAGGACAGGAGGCGCTCATGCGATAAGGGTCTTTAAAATTTATTAGCATATCCGTAGTCTTTAGTTGTTGACTCCTGTAGAAGCTGAAGTTTGGCGTGGTGCATGGATCATAGAGCCCAGTGGAATCTAATGGCAGCCTACGCATCGTTACTTAAACCGCTAACGATGTGAACGGATTGAACTCTGTCGTAGAGAGGACAGGAGACGCTTGCGGTAAGGGTCTTTAAAATTACTTAGTATAATTATTCGTAGCCTATAGTTTTCGACGACAGGAGTCGTCCTCTAGAAGCTGTTCTGGAGTCAAGCGTGGTTCAAGTTACATCCTTGTGTTGTGGCTTGGTGCTACCTGATAGATATCTTTGGTCTTTTATACCGCTGTCAATGTAGCTAAATGGTTTCTAAGAGTTGCTAGACTAAAAGGCGACGGTCGGTAACTATCCTGCTACGGTCTTGGCTTACAATAAGCGCTTTCTGAATATTATCAGTCTGTGAACTTTATACATATCGATGTTGTAACTTTCGTTGAATTTTCTTTCGGCAATCTCATGCAGGATTCCGGAGGTTTTATAAATAGGAAATAATAATATAAATATTAGTTCTACCTTATTGTCCTACAAAATTAACTTACATCTAAACGCTACCGTATAATAAATCATGAATTCGTTTATTATTTGCCAGGTGGCAGCACCAGTAGCGGTGGCTCCAGTCGCGAGGGTGGTAGCTCCCGCCCCAGTAGCGGTTGCGGCCCCCGTGGCTCGCTACTCGCTGCCAGTGGCCGCCGCCCACCCGTGGGGCTAAGCCAATCCCTCCCCACTTCCAGCTGTATAGCCCGAGGTCAGACAAGATGGGAATACCGAAGTCTATCAAGACACTTTTCGCATTCGGAGTTATCCTAACAAAAAGTTCCTGATGGTCTAAGCTTAGAAGAAACGGTTTTGAATGGAAGCCATAATAAGAATGTTTAAAGGAAAGTGTTTTTGTTGTTACAAAGAGTCTGGTGTATGTTTGTTATCGTGAAGAGACCTCGGCACAGATACAGCTGTACGACCAGGATCGCCCGCGGACCCCCGGCTATTTATTGTTTACATTTTCTCGTACTGCTTCGAATGTTTGCCCACGGATTTGATCTTGACGCGTTGTATTATTTCTACGAACAATGTAAATATATTATATAGTTAAAAAAATACAATAAATGCAATCCCTTTGCGTTACATGTGTGTATATTATTACTGTATCCTCGATATTTGCCTCAATGGTGAATGATGTGATCGCAACATTGTAAACATTACTATATAGTATTAATATCTACAGTCCAATTATAATAATTCGTTAACAATCCAATACAACTGTGGCTAATTAATAAAAAAAATAGTTTACAGATCTCTACTTCAAAGTTTTCAATGTGCCGAGGGTTGGTTTTACTCTGGGGGTGGACACCCCACCTTCACGGGGAATGAAAACATTTTACTAAAAATAAGTATTGGAATGGATAGATTGATTTAGCGTAAGCAACTTTTGTCCTATAAAGTTTTAACTGTAAGTCAATACTTTTCGATTAATTTCCAGAGTGAAAAAGTAAATTGGAAAGGAAAATGTTTTCAGATTTTCATGAATAACTCTAAAAATAAATATTTCATGAGAGAATCAGTAAAAATAAAAAAAATTAACAAAAAAAAACTGGGTTTAAGATATTGCTACGTCTAATTTTCACACACATATGAGTGTTTCTTATAATCTGGGAAAAGATGGAGGAATGTGTTGCAATATACGTGTTTTGATCGTTTCTTATCCGAAGCGCAACCGCGTGTCACTACTAGTAGTACCTTCGGAAAGTGCTATACCCTTCAGCACTCACAGTTCTGCCATAGGGATATTTACAATCCCAATGCAATACCCAAGCGATGCCAGTAGTGCCTTGGGGAACAGCTATTCGTAACTTCAGCAAATAAATGTGATTGTTTTTGAGCTAAGAAGTTCTAAAAAACCTACAAAAAACTATTTTGTAGGTTTTTTAGTAATTTTGAAAACACGTAGAACTTTGAAGAATCAATAATCTAGTAACACCAGAAAAACTTGATCTGGCAGCCCTTTTAAGACGTCATTATAAAATTTCATAAATATCATGTCATGCAAGAATCTTTCGTTTAAAGGTTTTTTTTTTATTTTATTTTTGTTTATGGAGTGAATAAAAGAGAGGAAGTTGGAGTCGGAGAAGATATTTATTAAATGATAAGTCATAATAAATCTGCAAAAGAACAAAAGGAGGCGTGTCATATGAAAAAGGATCAATGTTATGAAGATACCTAACCTCAACGAGTGACTTGCAATTAACTTCTTGATACTACTTTATTTTTATATTACTATTTTTTATTTACATTTCAACAGTTACATAAAGTTAGATAATAAACTATTGTTTTAATTGTGGATGAACATGAGTTTCGTAGCATTTATTTTATAAAAAATAAGTTTTAAAACATGTAAATTTGTAATAGTAATTTTATTCGTATTCCCAACTTTTTTGCATTACACTGATTGAAAATTGTTTTCTTATAGGTACTTTATCTACAGATGATCGCATAATAATAGGAAATGTTTTGAATAGAATTTTGTTTATCACCGTTATCTCTATTGGTGGTCTTTTGGTGGGTAATAATAATATTATTAAAATTGTATAAACATTATTAACATTTTATAAGTCTGTTTATTTAGATTTCAAATGAATATTTTATAAGAGGATGAATATTTTTTTCCTAACGCTCTACCCCGGCTTCCCAAGGGCGCGAAGTTTCACAGACACGACAAGTTTCTTTTTCTCCAAACATTACTAACTTAGTCTTATCACTACATATTTTATCCCTACAGCCAATTACGAACGAAAATCGCTGACGGCTTTCATTTCATGCGGCAATAATTTCCAATATTAAATTGTTGCACGGTAGTAATCAAATATACTTTTTATAGAAATAGGCAAAGGTGATGTTTGTGCTTCCCACTGACTATGTGACTAGTTAAGTTATTAGAGAGAATTGAGGTGGCTCAATAAAACCCCTAACAATTCTTCAAAAATTGTAGGTAATGTTAACTATTACATAGTAGATAAGAGCAAAATAAGTATTGTTCGGCAGTTTAACCTACCTACTTAACTGGCTTATGCTACTTAACTACTAATCAACAATGTAAAAATTACTTGACTATTAATTCGTAACGTAATATAAATTACTATTCTATCAATACTTTACGGGAATGGGACCCCATTGTATGATTTATTTTATGCACAACCATCTAGGTGATCATAGCTGAATATTGAAAATACGGTTTGTAATTATGCATGAAAATATTTTGTCCTTTAATCTTAAATTGTAGGGTGAAATGTGGTTAAAATGTATTGAAGCCGCAACTCCAAAAACTGTAAATTTTACTTCAAATTTCAGTAAAAGAAAAAAAAGAATAGTAAAAGAAAGCAAAAGAAGAAAATTTAAATATTCGTTATAAATCAGTTTAAAATAAATCAACTCAAGTATGAACCTCGAACGCACATTAAACGTTTGACCACGTTTGATGTGTTAATTATTAGTAGATATCAACTTTCATATTTATGTGGCGTCCTTTGCTTTTCCATAGTAGTTAATTTGCGACGGAATAAATATTTAAGAGCATTGAATATGCCTGCCGTATCTGTTTATATATGGAGTTGGAAGGATATACTAGTTTCATATGTTCAAGATTACGATTTGGTACGAACGCGAGTATGCGTGTTGGGCAATGTCCGTCGGAGTCTCGGAGTGCAATGTAGTGACCGTACATTTGATTTTCCTTTAGAGAACTTACAAAAGGGTATTAAAAGGAACTGGTCTCGTACACCATGATCTAATTAATAAGAAGTTATGGAAGTAGACACGTTTTTTTACAACTTTTTTACAACAAATGCGTCATTGATTTTTCCAAGCCAATTAAAAAAGGTATTAAATTAGTAAAATACAAGAATGACATTTTATATGTTATACTTACTCACATTTTTTTAGAAGTACTTAATGTATTTTTAAAAATTAACTATGTGAATAAAACTCAAGTAAATCATATTAACTTCGGCAAGACGTGAGATTTTTTTAATAAAATGACAAATTATTACAGTTTCAGCGCCGGTTAAAGGGTAGATTGAGTGGAATCAAAAAAACCGAAATTCGAGGAACTTTCCGCTGAAAAAGCAAATTTACGTGCATTGAAGACACTGAAGGAAAATCTCACTCTACTGTGTGTGCTGTTTCTTTATTTGCATTGACATAAAACTCGGTTGACATCTAAAAATAAAAGAAATTCACGTAGCACAATAATTTTATTTACAAGATTAAATATCCACAATATACAGACATTTAAATGCAGACGAATATTAACAAGTCTATTTAGTTAACAAATAACAATAGCTTAAAACTAGTACGTAATTATGTAAAAAAAGTATTTTTATCATCTTTGCCTTGTTGCATTTTTTAAAAAAATAGCATCTATTGAAATTTATGTACGTCCCTTACGACCGCACTCAGAGAAGTCAATTACCTATTAAGTTTGACTAAAGACAATGCTGTCATTTTCTCTGCGGTAATAAAATAATATGACGGCACCTGCTTAAAGGAGCATTAAATAAATTAGATGTTTCTTAAACGGCTGTTATTCTTCAATTAATTCAGAGTGCAGTGCTCGTATCAGACTGGGATGCGGTTCTGTTGGGCCCACCGCGTGATTGGACGAAGTATGTGGTCCGCTCGGGGGTGAGCTCGAGGACCTAAACCATCAAATTAATAATTTTATAAATTTGTAGTAGTGTGTAGTGCAACAAAGATCTATAAGAATGTGAGTGACATTTCAAGGAAGGCGCAGCTGTATACGTAAATGGCCGAAAATGACATACAAAATATGACGACAAAGAACGCGGCGTTAGTTCCAATTTTCGCCACGTTCATAAAAATCCTTGTCGCGCTGTACCATTCAAACATTATGCCGGTTGTGAAGTTAGCAGCGAGCGGAACTAAAGTCGGACCAAGATCTTGTAGCACTTAGATGACATTGACAGGAGGGCGCTGCTAGTGAATATGTGGTGTTACGAGGATAATGGGACCTTCGATTTTTGTACATAGAAGTCATCCCCCCATAACAGGTAGCCTAGAAAAAAGCCTCAAATGGCAAACAAAGAGGAGTATAGGGACTCGGATTAAAGAACATGTCGTTTACTCTACTTGACTCGCGCTAACTTCACAGCTGCTGGTATAGTTGCCTCTCAACATCTATATAGTTACCTCTCAACAGTGCGTGACAGTGCGTCCCTTAGTTCAGCTGCGGCTCGTGGCTTGTTAGCTGATGTGGCTCTTAATCCTCCCCACTTCTATATAGTTATCTCTCAGCAGTGACAGTGCGTATCTTAGTTCCGCTGCGGCTCGTGGCTTGTTAGCTGATGTGGCTCTTAATCCTTCCCTCGTTATATAGTTACCTATCAGCAGTGACAGTGCGTCTCTTATTTCCGCTGCGGCTCGTGGTTTGTTAGCTGATGCGGCTTCTAATCCTCTCCACTTCTATATAGTTACCTCTCAGCAGTGACAGTGCGTCTCTTAGTTCCGCTGCGGCTCGTGGCTTGTTAGCTGATGTGGCTCTTAATCCTTCCCTCATATAGTTACCTATCAGCAGTGACAGTGCCTCTCTTATTTCCGCTGCGGCTCGTGGTTTGTTAGCTGATGCGGCTTCTAATCCTCTCCACTTCTATATAGTTACCTCTCAGCAGTGACAGTGCGTCTCTTAGAACCGCTGCGGCTCGTGGCTTGTTAGCTGATGCGGCTTCTAATCCTCTCCACTTCTATATAGTTACCTCTCAGTAGTGACAGTGCGTCTCTTAGTTCCGCTGCGGCTCGTGGCTTGTTAGCTGTTGCGGCTCTTAATCCTCCCCACTTCTATATAGTTACCTCTCAGCAGTGGCAGTGCGTCTCTTAGATCAGCTGTGGCTCGTGGCTTGTTTGTTGCTGCGGCTTTTAATCCTTCCCTCATTATATAGTTACCTCTCAGCAGCGACAGTGCGTCTCTTAGTTCGGCTGCGGCCCGTGGCTTGTTAGCTGCTGCGGCCTGAGCGCACCCACACACTGCACCTCTTAATCCTTCCCACATTTCTGGACCGCCATCCAATCTACATTAAACCACGTTATGCAATGAAATATTAATTGAAAATTCACGCCT